GGCTGTATGAGTGAATCACTGCTTTTAATGATAACCATGGCTACCCCTACTGTTTTCATTTCTTTTTTCCTTTCTATCTCTCTTCTCTTAAGTCTTCTTCCTTAGGGAACACTGATCTTTATAGACACCTCCAGCCAATGCAAGCAATATTTTCCTTTGTTAAAGAAGCTGATTCATTAGAATATGTTGCCTGTGTTCTTCAAGTCTTCTTAGACATATTTATTGTCTGAGACAACCAACAAAATTAAACTATATCTGAGCCATTCTAAAAACCCAATGTCTGCCCTGGCTGGTTTGGCTCAGCAGTTAGAGCATTGGCCTGCGGTCTGGAGAGACCCGGGTTCGGTTCCCGCTAAGGGCATGTACCTCGGTTGCAGTTTGTCCCCAGCCCTGGTTGGGTTGTGTGGGTGGCAACCACTCGATATGTCCCATGTTTCTTTCTCTCTCTCTCCCTCCCACTCTATCTGAAAAAATATCAAAAAATTAATTAATTAATTAATTAAAAATAAATAAATAAAAACCCAGTGTCTCAGAAGGATGGAACCTTCATTCCTTAGACTTCTAATGAGCAGCTTGGTTATACCAGACACTATATCAGGTATTGTGAATATAAAAATGAGCACGTTTTCTCCCTGCCTTGAGTTTTTAAAAAACACTTTTATTGTGCTCTGGCTGGTTGGGCTCAGCAGTTAGAGAGCGTCGGCCTGCAGTCCACAGAGAGCCGGGTTCGGTTCCCGCTAAGGGCACCTACCTCGGTTGCAGTTTGTCCCCGGCCCCACGTGGGGTTGCGTGGGACACAGCCACTTGATGTGTCCCTTTCACGTCGATGTTTCTCTCTCTCTCTCTGACTTCCTCTCTCTCCCTGCCATTCTATCTGAACAAAAATGGAAAGATGTCCTTGGGTGAGGAAAAAAAAGAAAAAACACTTTTATTGAGATATAATTTACATGCTACAAAATTCACCCAAAGTGTACAATTCAGTTTTTTGTTTAGTAAATTCAGAGTTGTACAACCATCACTACAGTTTAAGTTTAGGATAGTTTCATCACCCCAAAAAGAAATCCTTACTTATTAGCAGCACTCCCTGTTCCCACCTCCCACCTTTTTTTAGGCAACTACAAATCTTTCTGTCTCCAGATTTGTCTATTCTGGACATTTTATTTAAATGAAATCATACTGTATGTGGGTTTTTGGGTCTGGCTTTTTTCCCTTAATGTTTTCAAGCTTCATCCAATATTGTAGCTTATATCAGTACTTCATTTTTATGGCTGAATAGTATTCCATTGTGTGAATGTACCTATTCTATTCATTGATTGATGGACATTTGGATTGTTTCTACTTTTTGGCTATTATGAATATTGCTGTTATGAACATTTGTGTACAAGTTTTATATGGATTAATGTTTTCATTTCTCCAGGGAAAAAAATCTAGGAGTAGAACTGCAGAGTCATGTGGTAACTCTATGTTTAACATTTTGAGGAACTGCCAAACTGGATTTCAAAGTGGTTGCATCAGTTTATATTTTCACCAGCAATGAATTAGAATTTCAATTTCTCCGCATCATCTCTAATACATTTTATCTGTCTTTTATTTGTACAGGCCATTCTAGAGGGTTTAAAGTGGTATCTCATTGTGGCTTTAATTTGCATTTTCGTAATGATTATGTTGAGCATCTTTTCATGTGCTTGTTGACTATTTGTATATCTTCTTTGGAGAAAATATCCATTCAAATCCGTTGCCCATTTTTTCAATTGTTTGTAGATTCAATTGTTGATAGCTATGTATTCATTGTCATTTTGTTTGTTCATATTTTTTATCTGTTTCTTCAAGAAGACCCTTCAACATTTCATGTAATAATGGTTTGGTGGTGATGAACTCCTTTAGCTTTTCCTTGTCTGGGAAACTCTTTATATGGCCATCGATTCTAAATGACAGCTTTGCAGGATAGAGTAATCTTGGTTGTAGGTTCTTGTTTTGCATCACTCTGAATATTTCTTGCCACTCCCTTCTGGCCTGCAAGGTTTCTTTTGAGAAATCAGTTGACAGTCTAATGAAAACTCCCTTGTAGGTAACTAACTGCTTTTCTCTTGCTGCTTTTAAGATTCTCTCTTTGTCTTGATCCTTTTGCATTTTGATGATGATGTGTCTTGGTTGGTGTGGGCCTCTTGGGGTTCATCTTGTTTGGGACTCTCTGTGCTTCCTGGACGTGTATGTCTGTTTCCTTCACCAAGTTAGGGAAGTTTTCTGGCATTATTGTTTCAAATAGGTTTTCGGTTTCTTGTTCTCTCTCTTCTCTTTCTGGCACCCCCAAGATGCAAATGTTGGCACGCTTGAAGTTGTCCCAGAGGCTCCTTACACTATCCTCATGTTTTGGATTCTTTTTTCTTTTTGCTGTTCTGATTGGGTGTTTTTTGCTTCCTTATATTCCAAACTGATGGTTTGCTTCTTGGCTTTACCTACTCTACTATTGAATCTGTGTAAATTATTCTTTATTTCAGTTAGTGCCTCCTTCACTTCTGACTGGTCCTTTTTTATTCTCTTGAGGCCCTCACTAAGTTCACTGAGGTTCTCACTAAGTTCATTGAGCATCCTTATAAGCAGTATTTTGAACTCAGCATCTGTTAGGTTGCTTATCTTCATTTTGCTTAGTTCTTTTCCTGGGGTTTTGTTCTGTTCTTTCTTTTGGGACCTGTTTCTTTGTCTCCTCATTTTGGCTGCCTCCCTGTGTTTGTTTCTGTGTATTACTTAACGAGAGGTATGGGGTGATCTGAGACCAGATGCTGCTTGTTTGAAAGAATTTAGGAAAACCTGAAGCAGGACCCAAGACAGGCCAGTCCTATGGTGAAGCAACTGGCAACAGCTTGGGTGGGCCTGAAAGTTGGGTGGGGCGGGGCCTCAGGGAATCACCAGGGTGGGGCAAACAGTGTGAGCCAGGCAGCTGGAGTCCCAGTATGGCAGCTGTCTGCCGCCCCAGGGAAGGGCTCACCAAAGGAATAAAGGCCCCTGACAGCAGTCTGTCCAGGAGAAAGCCCCCTCTCCAGCCCTCGCTCCAATGCCGAACAGCTCAGTTCTTCCCTGTATGTCTCTGGTGCCCCTCGAGCTGCCTCCCCTCCAAGCTTAGAGGGAGTGAGTCCTAGTAAGTCCGCGTGGGCCCTGTAAGGAGCTGACTGGGGCTCCAGCCGCGTCAGCTTCCCTGAGCCTCAGTTCCCACGGGATTTTCCAGCCAGAAGTGATGGGGATTCTCTTCCTGGCACTGAAACCCTGAGCGGGGCACCTGGTGTGGAACGGGGACACCTTAGTCCTCAGGGAGGACCTTCCCAGCCGAGGTGTCCTCCTGATTTTTATCCGCCACACGTGGGTGTGGGACCGGCCCACCCACCTCCGCCCCTCCTACCAGTCTTGATGTGGCTGCTGCTTTAATTCCATAGCTGTAGGACTTCCATTCAGCTTGATTTCAGGCGGTTTTGAATGATGGTTGTTCTGTAGTTTAGTTGTAACTTTGATGTGGTTGTGGGAGGACGCGATACTCCATTTAACCTATCTGCCATCTTGACTGGAAGTCTCTCTTTGTATATTTTAGATACAAGTCCCTTATTTGATATATATGATTTGCAAATATTTTCTACTCTTCTGAGGATGCTACTTCACTTTCTTCATGGTATTATAGCGCAAAGTTTTAAAACTTGATGTAGTTCAATGTGTCTAGTTTTTCCTTTGGTTGCTTGTGCTTTTGGTATTTGTTTATTTAAGAAATCATTGTTTAACCCAAGATCACAAAGATTTAATTTTAGTTCTTACTTTTAGTCCTGTGATTGATCCATTTTGAGTTAATTTTTTCTGTTATATAAGGTAGGAGTCTAGCTTCGTTTTTTACATGTGAATATTGAGTTGTCCCAGCACTGTTTGTTGATAAGACTATTCTTTTTCCATTTATGTATTTATTTATTTGCTTTTTATGTATGTTAATTTTCACCTAAGGATATTTTTCCATTGATTTTTATTTTAGAGAGAGTGGAAGGAAGGGAGAGAGAGAGAGAGAGAGAGAGAGAGAAACATCAGTGTGAGAGACATATCCATTGGTTGCCTCCCGCATGACCCTGACAGGGCTGTGATCAAACCTACACCCAGGTATGTGTCCTTGACCCGAATTGAACCTGAGACCCTTTGGTCCCTGAACCAACACCAACCACTGAGCCCAACCAGCCAGGGCTCTTTTTTCATTTATTGTCTTGGTGTAATTGTTGGAAATCAGTTGACCATATATGAATGGGTTTCTTTTTATACTCTCAGTTTTGTTCCATTGATGTATATGTCTGCTCTTAAGCCACACTGTCTTGATTACTGTAGCTTTGTATTGAGGTGCTGAGTTTTTTGTTTTTTTGTTTTTAATCCTCACCCCAGGATATTTTTCCATTTATCTTTAGATAGAGCAGGAGGGAAGAAGAGAGAGAGAGAGAGAGACATTGATGTGAGAGAGGCACACCGACTGGTTGCCTCCCACATGACCCCTACCAGGGCCAGGGACGAACCACAACTGATGTACGTGCCCTTAGCCAGAATCAAACTCGGGACTCTTTGGTCCGTGGACCAATGCTATAACCGCTGAGCCAAACTGGCTAGGGCAAGGTGCTGAGTTGTTAAACTAATTATAATCATTTTACTTGAACAATTCGCCATTTCTCTCTGATTATGCAGCGTGAAATAATTATCATTATGTATGCCATATTAACTCTTTAATATGTTTTATTTGCTCATAACAGTAAGCCATGTGCATGTAAGTTCACTTTTCATAGATCACTGCTTATGTAGTTTGGATTTTTGCTTATGCAGCATCTAAAAACAATTAAAGAAGGCCATTGGTTGTAATTCACCTGCCAATGCCTTTAAAATGGCTCTTAATGTTGTGAGATTATTTTTTTCATGGCTATTTTGCCTTTTGAATATTCTCTCTATAAAAAATAATAACTTGAATTGTTCTTTTCATTCTTTATAATTTGTAGGTTTTGTATGCTGAAACTTCTCAACCAGAAGAAAGGGCCTTCACAGTGTCCTTTGTGCAAAAATGATATAACCAAAAGGTATATAACTAGTGATGGGAGGTTGTAGAAATTCTTTACTACTGTAGCTGTTCCTAGCAAATCATTTCTCAGTAGGAAAATGTTTAACAGGATATTTAGCTGACAGAATAAATTATTTCTTAAGTTATTTTCCTGAAAGTATTATTATTATTATTTTTTTTGCATTTATTTTCAGATAGAGCAGGAGGGAGAGAGAAAGAGAGAGAGAGAAACATCAACATGAGAGAGACACATTCGAGTGGCTGCCACCCACATAACCCCAACCAGGGCTGGGGACAAACCGCAACCGAGGTATGTGCCCTTAGTGGGAACCGAACCGGGGCCTCTCTGGTCCACGGAGAAATGCTCTAACCGCTGAGCAAAACCGGCCAGGGCTCCTGAAAGTATTTATGGTACCTTACACAGGTATTAGCCATTCATTGCCTTTTTCTAATGGTTCTGAATGGCGCAATAGCTTGCTGTCTTATGTAAAGTAGGGTATACTACCTGCCCCCATTGTCTCCTGATTCTTTTATTTTTCTTCCCTGCATACTTATTTTTTACTTAATTATTTACACATAAATATATATAATTATGTATTTATATAATGTGCGTCCCTCTAGGATGTAAGTTCTATTAGGGTATTGGCTTTGTCTGTCTCAGTCAACACTGTTTTTTCAGTCTTTGGCATAGAGTAGTCACTCAGATCTTTAAAGGAGTAAATGAATTATATTGTTCTACAACTTTACTAAGTCAGAATCTTTCTTTGGACATTGTCATCTATTTGTGCTTTCAAAATAATGTAATCGTCATTTGATAGAAATCCCTGAGAGCTAGAAGTGGTAAGTTGGGTGGATTGGGGTTCAGATCACATGATCTCACTTATTTTGATGAACAAAATAGACCCAAACCCAGAGACATAGAAGCAGGGTGCAGACTGACAAAACGTTAGAAGAGGGGATCGGGGGGGAGGGGAGAGATAAACCACAAAACCACAAAAGTTATATGCATGTATGTGTAACTATGGACATAGACAACAATGCCTGGGATCTGGAGGAGGGTGTCAATGGGGGGAAAAGAAACATCTGTAACAAAAATTAATAAATAAAAATATTAAAAATTAATAAAAATAATAGTAAGTTCTCTGTGCATTGGATTTATATCTGCTATGGATTCAGCGTACTATTTTAGTTCTTTTTTTATCCTCACCCGAGGACATTTTTCCCTTTTTTGTTCAGCTAGAGTGGGAGGGAAAGAGAGAGAGAGAAACATCAAAGGGACACATGGAGTGGTTGCCACCCACACGACCCAACCAGGGCCGGGGACAAACTGCAACCGAGGTACGTGCCTTTAGCGGGATCCGAACCCAGGTCTCTCTGGACTGCAGGCCGATGCTCTAACCGCTGAGCCAAATCGGCCAGGGCCAGAGTACTATTTTAGATAGTTATAGGCCTTTAGTAGGCTTGAATGGCAAAAAAGAAAATGTAAAACAATCAGTCCTGATGTCAGTGATGTTTTGATTTATTAGTATACATGTCTTTCCTTATTTTAGTGTCCTTAAAATGTTGATAATTACTTGCTAAGTGTGTCTCTCAAACAATTTAATTTCAGAAGCCTACAAGAAAGTACAAGATTTAGTCAGCTTGTTGAAGAGCTGCTGAAAATTATTCATGCTTTTGAGCTTGACACAGGATTACAGTGTAAGTGTTGTATAGCCCTAGTGGCCAATGCTAAAGAGGAGGTTTACGCAGTTATTTTCTTTGAATAGGTGATAAGACCTTTTGGTCTAGATTAATTTTAGCTCTTTATCTGTAATCTATTTGTTAAATCATTCCCACTGGTCTCACACCTTATTTGATCCTAAGATCTGTGTGTTTTTTTTTTCACATAAATTAGGGACAGTTTACCGTCAGTGGTATGTCATTATTTAATTGTGTTTTCTTTCTTTATTTTTCTTTATTTTTTAGAGAGACAGGAGGGTAGAGGGAGAGAGAGAGATAGAAACATCAATGAGAGAGAACATCAATTGGCTGCCTTCTGCATGCCCCCCATTTGGGGATTTGGCCCACAGCATGGGCATGTGTCCTGACCAGGAATTGATCTGGCGACCTCTTGGTGCATTGGTCGACACTCATCCACTGAGCCACACCAGCTAGGCTGTGTTTTCTTTCTTAATGGTAGAGAAAGTAATAATGCTCTTACTTCGTTGGTATCTTTGATTCAATGAACTATGGTATTAATAGGCAAATTAGTTAGTATTGCAGTGGGAGAAAGAGAGTAGAAATAACTTTGATGGTCTGTGTGTTAATAAACACACATTCTAGGAGTAGAATTTCCAAAGTTGATTTTAAAAAATTATAGGTAACCTTTAATGCATTGTCATTTATTTTTACTCCTCATCCAAGGATATTTTTTCATTGATTTTTTTTTCCCCCCAAATAGAGTAGGGGGTGGGGAGGAAGTGAGGGGGAAAGAGAGAGAGAGAAACATCAACGTGAGAGAGACGCATTGATTAGTTGCCTCCCGCACGACCCCAGCCAGAGCTGGGGATCAAACCCACAACCAAGGTACGTGCCCTTGACTGGAAATCAAACCCAAGGCCCTTTGATCCAGGGGCCAGCTCTAACCACTGAGAAAACTGGCCAGAGCTAATGCATTGTCTTAGTATAACAAAGAGCATTCACAGGATTTATCTTGGTTCTTTGATTACAATTATAAAAATAATGTTTTCCCTTGTAATTCACAGTTGCAAACAGTTATAACTTTTCAAAAAAGGGAAATAATTCTCCTGAGCATCTAAAGGAAGAAGTTTCTGTCATCCAAAGTTTGGGCTTCCGAAACCGTGCCGTAAGACTTCGACAGAGTGAATCTGAAAATCCTACCTTGGTAAAGCCATTTTTGTTTATTCTGGTAAAATCTCTTCCTTGAGTATTGTGAATTAGTGAATGTGCTAGATGCTCAAGGATTTATATAAAATGTCAGTAAACAAGGTAAGATGGTGAATTAAGTGTTTGGACAAATGTTCTAATGAACAAGAGTTAGAGGAGTTGAGAGACTGTCTATGTACCTACTGTGGTCAGGAGAGCCTTAACAGGCCTTTCCCCTGCATGTAGTGCTCTGTCCATCCTGATGTTTATCAAAAATAGCCACAGGGTCACTGATGGTCTTAAGTTTGCTATATATTTTTTTGTTGTTAATCCTTACCTAAGAATATTTTTCCATTGATTTTTAGATAAAGTGGGAGGGAGAGAGAGAGAGAGAGAAAGAAACATCAATGTCAGGGAGACACATCGGCCCTGGCCCATTTGGGCTCATTAGGTTAGAGTGTCAACCTGCGGACCAAAGAGTCTTGGGTTCCATTTCTTGTCAAGGGCATGTATCTATGTTGTAGGTTTGATCCCCAACCTGGTTGGGGTCGTGCAGGAGGCAACCAGTCTATGTATTTCTCTCACATCAATGTTTCTCTCTCTTCCCTCACCGCTTCCACTCTGTCTAAAAATCAATGAAGAAATATCCTCTGGTGAGGATTAACAAAATAAATAAAAGAGAGAGAGAGAGACATTGATTGGTTGCCTCCCACACAACCATGACCAGGGCCAGGGATCGAACCTGCAACCCGGGTCCTCAGGCTGACGCTTTAACTGCTGGGCCAAACTGGCCAGGGCAACCTTGCTAGTTTTTACAATAACCATCTTATGGCAATTCTCCACGCATGAGCAAGTATATTTTTTTTATTTCCTCTGAAAAGAAAATCAGTTTTTAATTTAAAAATTGCTTCAACTTTTTGGCCAGTGTGGCTCAGTGGTTGAGCATCGACCCATGTACTAAGAGGTCGCCAGTTCGATTCCCAGTCAGGACACATGCCCAGGTTGTGGGCCTGATCCCCAGTGGGGGGCGTGCAGGAGGCGGCCATTCGATGTTCTCTCTCATTGATGTTTCTGTCTCTCTACTTCTTCTCTCTCTAAAATCAATAAAATCTGTTTAAAATCTGTTTTAAAAAATTTGTTTCAACTTAAGAGGTGTAACTGTAGAGGGAATAAAAGACTGTTTGCTCTGTTGTTCCTTATATGTGAATAATGGAGATCTCAAAAATACTAGGTCTTATACCAGTATTCATTTTTTAGTAGATGTTGAAGGACTCAAAAAGAAGAAGGAAAACTTTGTTGGAATAATGTTGGATTTTAATATATTCCTTTTTATACTGAATGATCTTAGGATTAAAGGGATATTATTATTATTTTTTAATTATTTTTTATTTTATCTTAGTTGCCAAGTCTGTTATATGATTGGATATGTGTACTAAATGAATTTTATTCCCTTTCTATACTGTATTATAATATAAAGTATTAGCTTCAAAATATGCTTTTCTTATACTTCAAAAATTACACAGATAATACATATTTAAAAATTTAAAACAACAAAAAGGAAAATATATTCAAGTCATTAGAACATAACTCATACATTTTGATGTGTAGTTTGCCAAGTGTTTTTTCTAGGTGTCATAAATTTTAGCTTATTTATTATGGTCTATTTGTTTTGTCTGTGACCTTGAGTTGCTCTTCAAGGAAAAAAGCAAAGAATTAGTTGATCATTCTTTACTGCTTAGCAGGAAACCAGTCTTAGCGTCCAACTCTCTAACCTTGGAATTGTGAGATCACTGAAGACAAAGCAGCAGGTACAATCTCAACATAAGTCTGTCTACATTGAATTGGGTAAGAGTCTCAGATTTTTTAAATTTAGAACAGTAGTTGCCAGATTCTTTGTCTTACAGTTTTATTAGAAACCTTGGTCATAATTTACACAATGGCAGGGAGCTTTAGGAAGCAAAAATAAAATAATACTATTAGCCTTGTGGTGTGTTTATAAATAATGTAAAAGGATGCAGCTCTTACCTTGAAGAACCTTACTTTATAAAGAGAGCAAAAGAACGATGTCTGGTTATAAGTACATATAAATATACGGCAGGTCCTTGAATAGTATTGCTTCTTTCAATGTCATTTCGTTATAACTGGGAATGAGATGTCAAAGGAATATAACTCTTGTTTATATTAATTAGTCTGTGGTATAGTTGGTTTTGTCATATGTCATTTTGCTTGAAGTCACAGAACCAATTAACAACATTGAGTGAGAACTTACTATACTTTGGAAAGATGAAAAGTAGGAATAAGAAAGAACATGATGGACTGGCTACAGCATTTGGAAGGATCCAAGATAAATTGTACTAGACTAGAAAGACTTAAGAAGAGCTGAGCTCAATTCAGACAGTTTTCTCTAATTGTCTTGTCCTCTAGAATATATTTATAATTGGAAAGAGTGACCTTTATTATATTTATTTTACAGATGAGGTAATTAAGGCAAAGAAAAATTTTGCCAAGGGAGTGAAGCTAGTAAGTGGCAGAGCCATGATTCAAACCTAGGAATTTGGGCTTCAGAGCCTGTGTTTACAACTACTTCTCTGTATTTTCTGACATATGTATGTATCATTGTGCCATGGAATGGGTGCTTAGTAAATATTTTTGTATGAGTATCTGTTTTGCAAAAGGTACATTTTTTTAGTTTAACCCTTTTAGTAAAAATTCTTTTATTGACTTGTTCTTTGGGGGTATTTGGGGAATTTTTTTAGGATCTGATTCTTCTGAAGATACGGTTAATAAGGCAAGTTATTACAGGTGAGTCAAAGGGAGTCTTTGTTAAGCTGGCATTTTTAGTTAATATTAAGGATTGGTATTTTTTTAGGTTAGAATTATGGCATTGGCATAGACCATCCACTTTAATCTCATTTTATAGCTGAGAACATGCCCTTTTAGTTTGTTTTATTTCTTTTTACTTAAAACATTTTTTTATTAATTGGTTTTAGGGAGGGATGGGGTGAGAGAGAGAGAGAGAGAGAGAGAGAAAGAGAAACATCAATTTGTTGTTCCACTTATTTATGCATTCATTGGTTGCTTCTTGTATGTGCCCTGACTGAAGATGGAACCTGCAACTTTAGCGTATCAGGACAATGCTCTAATCAACTGAGCTACCAGGCCAGGGCCCTTGTTTGTGTGATTTCTTGGTGAAGAGTCCAAAAGAATTTAAAATGACAATTCTGTCCCTGGCCGGTTTGGCTTAGTAGTTAGAGTGTCAGGCCAGGACCGAAGAGTCGCGGGTTTGATTCTGGGTCAAGGATGGGTACCTTGGTTTCGGATTCCATCCCCGGTCCCAGATCGGGGAAGAAACCAATTTCTGTGTCTCTCTCACATGGATGTTTCACTCCCTCCTTCTCTCTCTTCTTCAAACTCTATCTGAAAAAACTGGTGGAAAAATATCCTCAGGTGACGATTAAAAAGTAAATAAAATAACAATTCTGCACCAGCTTGTTTCCAGCAGATGATCTACTCTGCTCTAGCTGAATTCCTTGTGTATAGTAGTATTGACACAGTGGTAATTGTGGCTGATTAAAATATTAGAGGTCTCCAGTTTTCTTTCCTTCCTCTGTTTCTTAATTTCATCTATCCCTCAACCTTTATGTAAATTATACAATAATCTACAAGCAACCCCCAACTGTGTTACCTGGCAAATTGCTTTCCTTACGAATTATTGCTTCACCTTAAGATCTGTGATGTCTTATCTGAACTACAGTGGAGTCGTTGCCAATCAGATTTTGTTTGCAAATGACTTTTTCCTAAGCTCTCTATTGATAGGGAGTAGTTTTAAGCCTGAAAAGAAGCATGGAAGGCAGAGTGGCAGACTGGTGCATTCTTTGCATACTATTAGGATATCTGCTTCATCCCAGTGCTCCCTTTGGTTAGATAATCTTTGTTCTTGCATTCTCATTAAGATATACTTTTAAGTTTTGTGGGGTTTTTGTTTTTGTTGTTGTTTTTTGTTTGTTTGTTTTTGCTTTACTGCCTCTTGGTTATTGTTTGTATTTAAATTGGCTATTATTTACATTTTGGTTCTTATTTGCATGTCCATAAAGCAAAGTTCTGCACTCTTGCTCTGATTTGTGTGACTGTGTGTGTCTTTGACCCTTCCATTTTGACTAGAAGTTACTAAAGGAGAGAGTAGATATCAGAAAGTGAATCAGACTGATCAGTTTACTGCCACCCTACCTAAAGGAGCTAACATATTTGATCTTGCTCATTTGACAACTCTTTGATCATGTAACTTAGCGTTTCTCATTAAGGCTTCTGTCTTTTTCCTATAGTGTGGAAGATCATGACTTGTTACAAATCACTCCTCAAGGAACCACGGCTGAAGCCAGTTTGAATCCTGTAAAAAAGGGTAATGGCAAGTCTTCCCAACATAACAGACCCTGAAGAGAGAGTGGGTAGATAGAGTACTATAATTAGATTATTCTGAAGACCATTTGGGACATTTATAATTCACAACATCTCTTGGCACAGCTAGAATATTATTCTTTCTCAGATGTTATGGTACAGCCTGATCTATTTCAGTGGCACTGGACTGATGTGATTGTAATAGTACCTTTGTAACTGGTTGTTGCCTTTTACTTTAAAGTTATTTGTTTATATGTCATCTTTTGCATATTGGTATTTAAATAGAAGGAGTAAGAGTCTGAGGATAGAACAGAGCACAGTAGGTCTGATGCCCAAAGTCTGCTTTTTTTTTTTTTTTTTTTTTTTTTTTTTAATCCTCACCCAAGGATATTTTTCCATTTTTTGTACAGATAGAGTGGGAGGGAGAGAGAGGAAGAGAGAGAGAGAGAGAAACATCGATGTGAAAGGGACACATCGAGTGGCTGCCACCCGCACGACCAACCAGGACCGGGGACAAACTGCAACCGAAGTACGTGCCCTTAGCGGGAACCGAACCCGGGTCTCTCCAGACCGCAGGCCGACGCTCTAACCGCTGAGCCAAACCGGCCAGGGCCCAAAGTCTGCTTTTAATTCACTGTTACAGGTTAGGGGAAAAGGAGGTGAGGTTTATGAGTAGGGAGAATTCTGAAATTAAAATTTTAATTATCTTGAGTGGAACTAATGAGAAAAGGAATTAAATGAAAGACTATGACCTACATCTTCAATATACTTGGTTGTTTAAAAGAATAGTTTCTCTAAAAATAGCCAGTTGTTTATTTCCACCCCAAGTTGTATTAAGTATGTATTTTTTAATGATAACTCCAATTGTTAATTACCTGTTGTTTTTGTATACTTTCAGCTGCGTGTGAGTTTTCTGAGGGCATAACAAATATTGAACATCATCAATCCAGTAGTAAAGATTTGACCACCACTGAGAAGCATGCAACTGAGAAGCATACAGAAAAGGATCAGGGTATTTCTGTTTCAAACTTGCATGTGGAGCCATGTGGCACCAATACTCATGCCAGCTCATTACAGCATGAGAACAGCAGTTCACTACTTACTAAAGACAGAATGAATGTAGAAAAGGCTGAATTCTGTAATAAAAGCAAGCAGCCTGGCTTAGCAAGGAGCCAGCAGAGCAGATGGGCTGAAAGTAAAGAAACATGTAATGATAGACAAATTCCCAACACAGACAAAAAGGTAGTTCTGAATGCTGATCCTCTGAATGGGAGAAAAGAACCTCCAGGCTCTGACCATCCTAGAGATTCCCAAGATGTTGCTTGGATAACACGGAGTAGTAGCATACAGAAAGTTAATGAGTGGTTTTCCAGACGTGATGAAATACTAACTACTGGTGGCTCACGTAATGATAGGTCTGAATCAAATGTTGTAGTAGCTGGTGCAGTAGAAGTTCCAAATGAAGTAGATGGATATTCTGGTTCTCCAGAGAAAATAGCCTCAATGGCCCGTGATCCTCATTATGCTTTAATATGTGAAAGAGTCTGCTCCAAACCACCAGAAAGTAGTATTGAAGATAAAATATTTGGGAAAACCTATCGGAGGAAGGCAAGCTTCCCTAATTTGAGCCACATAAGTGAAAATCTAATTATAGGAGCATCTGCTGTAGAACCCCAGGTAACAAAAGAATGTCCCCTCACAAATAAACTAAAACGTAAAAGGAGAACATCAAGCCTTCATCCTGAGGATTTTATCAAGAAAGTAGATTTGGCAGTTGTTCAAAAGACTCCTGAAAAGGTAATTGAGGGAACTGACCAAATAGAACAGAATGGTCATGTGATGGCTATTACTAATAATGGTCATGAGAATAAAACAAAAGATGATTATGTTCAGAAAGAGAAAAATGCTAACCCAACAGAATCATTGGAAAAAGAATCTGCTTTCGCAACTAAAGCTGAGCCTATAAGCAGCAGCATAAGCAATATGGAACTAGAATTGAATATCCACAGTTCTAAAGCACCTAAGAAAAATAGGCTGAAGAGGAAGTCTTCTACCAGGCACATTTATGCACTTGAACTAGTAGTCAATAGGAATCCAAGCCCACCTAATCATACGGAACTACAGATTGATAGTTGTTCTAGCAGTGAAGAGGTGAAGGAAAAAAATTCTGACCAAATACCAGTCAGACATAGCAAAAAGTTTCAACTCACGGAAGGTAAAGAACCTGCAACTGGAGCCAAGAAGAGTAACAAATCAAATGAACAAATAAATAAAAAACTTGCCAGTGATGCTTTTCCAGAACTAAACTTAACAAACATACCTGGTTTTTTAACTAATGGTTCAAGTTCTAATAAACTTCAAGAGTTTGTCAATCCTAACCTTCAAAGAGAAGAAACAGAAGACAACCTAGGAACAATTCACATGTCTAATAGTACCAAAGACCTCAAAGACCTGATATTAAGTGGAGGAAGAAGTTTGCAAACTGATAGATCTATGGAGAGTGCCAATATTTTATTGGTACCTGAAACTGATTATAGCACGCAGGACAGTATCTCATTACTGGAACCTGACACCCCAGGGAAGGCAAAAACAGCTCCAAATCAACATGCGGGTCTGTGTGCAGAAATTAAAAACCCCAAGGAACTTATGCATGGTTGTTCTAAAGATACTAGAAATGACAGAGAAGACTTTAAGGATCTGTTGAGACCTGAAGTTAACCACACTCAGGAGACAAGCATAGAAATGGAAGAGAGTGAACTTGATACGCAGTATTTACAGAATACATTCAAGGTTTCAAAACGTCAGTCATTTGCTCTGTTTTCAAATCCAGAAAAGGAATATGCAACAGTCTATGCCCACTCCAGGTCCTTAAGGAAACAAAGTCCAAAAGTCACTCTTGAATGTGGACAAAAAGAAAATCAGGGAGAGAAAGAATCTGAAATCGAGTATGTACGGACAGTTTACACAACAGCAGGCTTTCCTATGGTTTGTGAGAAAGACGAAAAGCCAGAAGAATATGCCAAATGTAGCATGAAAGGAACCTCTAGCCTTTGTCAGTCACCTCAGTTAAGAGGCAACGAAACTGATCTCACTATTGGAAATAAACCCAGAATTTCACGAAACCCATATCATATGCCATACATTTCTCCCTTTGTTAAAACTGTAAGTAAGAAAAACCTGTCAGAGGGAAAGTTTGAGGAACATTCAGTGTCACCTGAAAAAGCAATGAGAAATGAGAACATTCAAAGTACAGTGAGCCCAATTAGCCTAAATAACAGAGAGAGCACTTTTAAAGAAGGCAGCTCAAGCAGTACTAATGAAGTAGGCTCTAGTATCAATGAAGTAGGTTCCAGTGGTGAAAACATTCAAGCAGAACTGGCTAGAAACAGAGGATCAAAATTAAATACTATGCTCAGATCAGGTCTCATGCAACCCGAAGTCTATAAACCTAGCCTTTCCTTAAGTGATTGTGAACATCCTGAAATAAAAAGACAAGGAGAAAATGAAGGAGTAGTTCAGGCTGTTAATGCAGATTTCTCTCCATGTCAAATTTCAGATAATTTAGAACAATCTATGGGAAATAGTCCTGCTTCTCAGGTTTATTCTGAGACACCAGATGACCTGTTAAATGATGATGAAATAAAGGAGAATAGCAGCTTTGCTGGAAGTGGCATTAAGGAAAGATCTGCTATTTTTAGCAAAAGTGTCCAGAAAGAAGAATTCAGAAGGAGCCCTAGCCCCCTTGTCCATACACATTTGACTCATACTCGCCAAAGAGGGGCCAGGAAATTAGAGTCCTCAGAAGAGGACATGTCTAGTGAGGATGAAGAGCTTCCTTGCTTCCAACATTTATTATTTGGTAAAGTAAGCAGTATGCCTTCTCCATCTACCAGACATAATGCTGTTGCCACAGAGAGTCTGTCTAAGAAAACAGAGGAGAACCTAGTATCATTAAAGAGTAGCTTAAATAACTGCAGTAACCAGGTAATGTCAGCAAAGGCATCCCAGGAACATCACCTTAGTGAAGACACAAGATGTTCTGGTAGCTTATTTTCCTCACAGTGCAGTGCATCCGAAGACTTGACCGCTAATACAAACACCCAGGATCCTTTCTTCATATTTGATTCTCCTTCCCAAGAAGGGAGGCACCAGTCTAAAAACCAGGAAGTTCTGAGTGACAAGGAATTGGTTTCAGACGATGACGAAAGGGAAACTGGCCTGGAAGAGGATAATCAAGAAGAACAGAGTGCGGATTCAAACTTAGGTATTTTATAGAAATCAACTAAATTTTTTGCCTTTGGAGGAGCACATTTTACGAGTTTCTAAGTACAATTGAAGTAACTGTTTCTTATACTTTAAGCATGTTTCTCCTAAGGTGCTTTTCCTTAAAAGCCCTTCACCTAGCTGAAATATCTCTATTTGAATGAGATTTAATGCCCTAGTTTGGTAGACTTGCTTCTGGTTTTCATGGTTATGATTTTTAGAGGAAATCTGCATTTCCTCTAAACAAGGATTGTAATCATTTCGTGTGACATGAAAGTGATATTTGTCCTGCCAATGGGAGCAAACACATAGCAAATGGCAGTATTTGCTGTTTGTTTTATATCTGAATCTGTATTTTTATTATCATTTAAGATGAAGCAGCATTTGAGTATGAGAGTGAAACAAACCTCTCTGAAGACTGTTCAGGACTGTCCTCTCAGAGTGATATTTTAACCACTCAGGTAAATAGCATGTGTGGATGGATGTGTGTGTGGTGTCTTCTGCATTCAGTAGTATATGCATCCTGCATTCTTACATTTGCTTATATCATCCCTTAGAATCAGTGGTGTAACAGTTGTGTGTGGTACCTTGTCTCCTCAAATTAGATTGTAGTCACTCATGCTACCTTTTATTTCATACATACTCATACACATGCCACTGAGCACTGCAGAACACTAAATACTGAATTTAATGAATAACCTAAACCATCAAAACCCATTTGCGCTATAGCAAAAACATATATGAAAGCACTACTCTATCAAAGGAGGGTCACATATTCCACTTGTATACTAATGCACTGGCAATATAAATGATATAATGAGAGGTCATCTATTGGGTGCTTTCAACAGAGACATTCAAATGGCCTTGAAAGAGGAGAAGAATTTTTCCAGGTGGAAAGTGAAGGGAGGCAGCAATCCAGGCAAAGGCACAAAGGCATAAAATGCCCAGGAAGCACAAAGTTGTCCTGTGTGACTAGAAAATGGTATATGGGTGGTTTGGGGGAGAAATAAGAGATAAGAGGGTATGGAGGGCCTTTTGAATGCTCTGCTTAGGAATTTGGACTTTATCCTGAGGGCTATAACGAGTTATAATTATTTAGTTTTCAGAAAGCATTACTGTATAAGCAGTGGTATACCTCTAAGGGCATTGTGGAAGAAAGAGGCATGGTAAATATGTGTTTAAGGACCTTCCACAGTAATGTAGCTGTATTAAAAGTAGAGATTAGGAGGCATTTGATATCTTGCTTCCCACGACTGTTGTCAGTTTGGCTTGAATAAAATCTTATGAAAATTTTAAATAATAGAAAATAAAAGTAGACATCAGAGTAGCGTAGTGGGAAATAGAAGGGTTAATTTAAGAAACATTTGAGAATCAGAATCAAGAAAACTTGGTAACCAATTTGGTTTTGGTCTCCCAAATGTATCTGGCCAATTGCCTACTGGGGAATTGTCTAAGTTGTAAAGTCATTCCTTTGGGAAAACCCAAGGGAAAGTTAACTAATTCTCCCATTACTATTTTTTCTGATTTCCTAACCTATTTAATGGTCACAAGAGGTTAGATGTGATGGTCATGACAGTAGCGTCTAGTACAGCTTCTGAAGCTTACAGATATCTGTAATGTGATTTCATTCCAAATTTACTTAGTTTAGGCAAGCCTTCTTTGATGAGTAGTGGAACTACTCACAAGCACCACATGGTGGCAATGGAGCTATTGCAGACATTGGCAGCAAAACTCTCAGGCCAGCACTGGAAGCCTTTGTGGAGCTGGGAATACATTTTTTGGTCATAAAACCTGAAAACTAAGAACTCAGTGTAGCAGAAGAAAGTAGATAGCTAGTTTTTTGTAGAGGGCACAGTCATTTTCAAGGATCAGAAGAAGAAGAAACGGAGGATGAAACAATCTTGTGTTTCTCCAGGGTTTGGTGACAAACATTGATGTTCCTTCTAAAAGTAATGAAGAAAGGTATATTTTGTAAATCTCCTTAATTACGAAATACTTTGCGTATCAAAAACTTTAGACTCAAGAAAAACAAAAAACAGAAGTAAAAATAGCAACAACAAAAAAGAATCGTAGACTTAGCAGATATCTTTTTATTTTTAGTTAATTAATTTTTTAAAAATTCTCACCCAAGGATATTTGTCTATTTATCATCAGATAGAGTGGAAGGGAGGAAGAAAGAGGGAAACATTGATGTGAAAGAGACACATCCACTTGTTGCCTCCTGCACGATCCTGACCAGGGCTGGGTATGAACCGCAACAGGTACGTGCTCTTGACTGGAATCAAACCTGCAACTCATTGGTCAATGTGTCAATGCTGAGCCCAACCGACAGGGCTAATTAGTTATTTTATTTCAGCCTTAGAGGGTTTTTGTTTTTTTAATTTATTGATTTTAGAGAGAGGGTAGAAAGGGAAGAGAATGAGAGACAGAAGCATGGATGTGTTGTTCCACTTATTTATGCATTCATGGGTTGATTATTGTATATGCTCTGACTGGGGTTGAACCCAAAACTTTGGCATATCAGGATGATGCTATTACCATTTGAGCTACCCGACCAGAGCATAGATTTAAATTTTTTTTGAAATGTAGAGATAAGCATCAGGAGCTCCCTAATCAACGAAGAGCCCCTTATCTTGAGTTGAAAACAATAACTTTCCTTGATAGGGCTATGTCTCTTGGCTCCATCTCTCTAACAGGTCTTTCTCTGTTTTATTCTATAGGTACCCTGTCCCCATCTAGAATGGCAGCACTATGTCTGCTATATCCCCAGCACTAGGACAGTGTCTGACGTGTAATAGATGGTCAACAAATAGTTGTTGAATGGTCAAATAGATAAATTAATGAATTAGCTCTTTGTTCTTTCTGTTAGAAACTAAATGTTCAATGAATCCCAGAAAAAGAAGTGTCCACAAGCCACAAATCAGAAGTTTTTATATGGACTCACCCAAATCTCTTATGATTCCCACAATATTACACCTTTGAAACATAGCTTATGTAAAATGTTCACAGAGCCATGCTAAATTTTTTTTCTTTAATCCTCATCTGAGGACATTTTTGCATTTATCTTCAGATAGAGGCAGGGTGGGAGGAGGGGGGAGAGAAAGAAACATCCATGGGTGAGAGAGATACACCAAATGATTGCCACGCACATAACCCCCACTGGGGCCAGGGACAAAATGCAACCAAGGTACGTGCCCCCAGCAGGAATCGAACCCGGGACTCTCTGGTCTGTAGGCCCACACTCTAACTGCCGAGCCAAACTTGCCAGGGCCAGAGTCATGTTAATTTTAAATATCAAAAGTGTTTAAGTGTCTTAATTATTTTTTCACACCTGAGCTTTTAAAAGAAAATCAACTTAAAAAGGACATCACAATAAAGCAAGTCTATTTGGGAGAGTTTGAGGAATTTTTCTCCTTTATCATCATTTTGAAATAATTTCATGGGCATTAATTGCATGAATATGGTTGGATTAAAGGGTACCCTTTCACATCGATGTTTCCCTCTCTCTCTCTTCCTCTCTCTCCCTCCCACTCTGTCTGTAAAAAAAAAAAAATAAATAAAAAAAAAAAAAAAAAAAAAAAAAAAAAAGGTGTTCAGCCAGAATTTATAATTCCATAGTAGGTGATTTTAATTCCTATGCTAAAATTAATTGGTATGACATAGTCTTGCCTTTTGGCAAGTTTCTGAAAGAGTGTAACTTTCTCCGTGTCATTTCTTGTGTTTGCAGCAGAGGGATACCATGCAAGATAACCTGATAAAGATCAAGCAGGAAATGGACCAATTGGAAGCTGTGTTAGAGCAGCAGGGAAGCCAGCCTTCTAACAAATCCCCTTCCCTCATAGCTGATTCTTGTGCTTCAGAGGACGTACTAAATCCAGAACAGAACACATCAGAAAAAGGTTTGTAATATTGGCCAAATTCCTCTTATGCAAAATTCTTCCCCTCCCTAAGTCTTTATCTCCAGAGAAATGTGGACCATGGACCGAGCTTGAACATGTTATGATCTTTGCTCAGCATATATTTGCTGAGTCACTCCATGGGTAATTTTAGAGCTTTGGTTCTAGTCCCTTTCTACAACTAATTTACCACTCAGAGAGACCAAGACAGTCATTATGTGTCATTGTCTGACTGAGTACCCACAACCAGGAGATGCTATGGGCAGCCCAAAGGAAGTTGAGTATAATGGGAGAGATTGGAAATAGGTAACCCCATCATTTTAGAAAACTTATAAAAAGCACCCATATTCCTTATACCACGGGTGTTAGTTGAAAGAGCATTATGAAAGAAAGCACATTGGGCAGGTTTTTAAATAGGAGCAAATATGTAGCCAAAGTAGATGAGAGGGTAGGCACAGGCATGGGTTCCATGAGGGAAATTGGCGCTTACATATAAGCAGGTGTGGCGCGCCCTCCCAAAGTGTTCTTCATTATTATCTCAGTGATACCTACCCAGCTAACTTAGTGTTCGAGTTCCTTCTTCATCTCTTCCTTACCCAGTCCTACCCAGGGCACTAGGGCCTTCCGTTGAGTCTTTCTAGGAACTCAGCTCCAATTTATTCAGAATTGTGGCCTTGGTCGGGGAGTGTATCTTGCAATATTTTTATGTTCCAGGAGAAGCAGTAGGTTATGCATGAGAACTTAAGAACTCTGTTGCTATGGCAGTGGTTCAAATGTACTTCCTTAAATATTTTCTTTGTAGCTATATCTTTATTTAGTTCATCTCTCAGATAATGAAGCCCATTGTCTAGTCCCCAGCACAATTCTGTTCTTTGAGGTACTTTCACCATCTTCAGCCTAAGAACAGACTAGATATACTTTTTTATTTTAAGTATATTTTTATGAAATTTTTTTTTTTTAAGAGAGAGGAAAGGAGAGAGAGATAGAAACATTGATGTGAGAGAGAAACATCGATCAGCTGCCTCCTGCATGCCCCTTCTTGAGATTGAGCCCACAACCCAGGCATGTGTCCTGACCAGGAATTGAACCAGGACCTGTCAGTCCATGGATGTCACTCAGTCCACTGAGCCACACCAGCCGGGCTAGACTTTTCATTTTTATGCAAAACTTATATAAAATGTTACTGTCTGGCTTTAATCATGTGTAAATCTATCTCATCTTTGGGGGAGGGGTGTTTATTTTTTTCTGAAGATTTCAAAATGTTTCCTGGTGGCTCTTTTGTTTTTTAATTTTATAAATGTTATACTTTTATATGTTTTTATTATGGATTTGAATACCTTTTGACAATTTCTTCTAAATCTCTATAAATCATTTTTGTTAGGAGATTTTACTTTATCCTTTGTGGTAAACTTACTCATTGTTCTAGGGTCTTTGTATCAAATGTCCTGCCCTCTGCATAGTTCTGTCCTACTGTTTATCTAAGGGTCATTCCCAAGCCTGCATAATATTTTTGTGCAAATGTATATACCCATTATAAATTATGTGTACCTTCCTCTGCAGGTTAAGTTATTTTATATCAGGCACTTAGTTGTTTTTGTTCTCCTGGATTACCTGTTATTCATTTATTTTATTTTTTATCCTCACCTGAGGACATTTTTCCTTTTTTTGTTCAGATAGAGTGGGAGGGAGTGGGCTCTGGATCCTTGCATTTATGAAGTAAGGATTAAGGGAAAAGAAAAAACAAATTTTGCCCTATGTTTTTAGGTACTATTGAGTAATTGAATTCTAACTCATTTTCTTCATAGCTTAACCCCATCATAGTGAAAAGAGGAACTCATGTGCCGAATGTTCAAATGTGATGGAATGACTTTTAATGTCTGTATGTCTGAGGCTTCCTACCCTTCCACTTTTTCTTTTTAATAACCCTTTCCAATTGTTAATTCTTTTTGGTGTGATTCCTTAGAGACTGTATATTACCTTTTACCAATTATTACCCTATATTCTAGGGAAATGATACCCTTATTAAAAAGCTTTACATGCCCAGTTGAAAGAAAAACCTACATAGACTGCTTACTTTCAGCAACTGGTAGCTCCAGGCAGAGTTCTTGTGTTCCTAGAAACTCACAGGTTCAGAAAAGATGAGCACAAAGAAAACTATAAATAATGCATTTGAGGATTAACTCAGGAAATCAATAATTATTTCCCCCCAGGTCACCCAGTGTTTAAAATAAACAGTTTAATTATTATAGCCCTTTGTTTACATTTTATGCCTTAGTTTATGGATTTTTGCTTTTCTGATAAAAGCTTGAAATAAATTACAGTCATTGGTGACTTTTTAATGTATAGAAGACATTTGTAATTTTCAAGCATTTGTTTTTGCTTTTTAAATATTTCTGCCTTTAAGCTACTTCCTAGAAAGCAGTGGCACAGTCATACCTTTGGAGGAATTAAATAAATAAAAAGGGTGTACTAACATGTCAGAACTTTGCCTTGGGTCTGTTTTGTGTCTTTTCCTTTCCTTGTGCCATTTCATCATTAGTTCCATGTATTACTTTAGGGTTCCTTATCAGTCGACACCTTGGTTTTTTGTTTTCTTACTAATTGAAAATCTAAAGCAAAATGTCACCTATTTTTTTTCTTTCTCATGTGACCCCTCCACTCTCATTTTCCCATACTTGTAAAAGCTCACGCCTCATTTCATACGGTCTTTAGTGTGGAGGCAATAGGGATGGAAAAGGGAATGTTTTTTTCCAGTACTTTCTCTTCCCTGTTATCTAAGGGGATTTGAGTATAATTTATTTTGTTGTAGAGATAAAAAGTTATTTTCTCTTCTTGTGTCCTTATCATTCAGGGCCAAAAACTATAAATATGATTTTTTTCAGTTGAGTATCTTCATTTACCCAGTCCTAAAGTGTTCCATTTATTTATTTATTTATTTATTTATTTATTTATTTATTTATTTATTTATTTATTCCATTTGTTACTGGATCACTGGTGCTTATAAAATTCTGTCTTATATACTTGCTGAAAAACCAATTTGAGCCCTGGCTGGTTTGCCTCAGCGGTTAGAGCGTCGGCCTGCAGTCGAGAGAGACCCAGGTTCGGTTCCTACTAAGGGCGTGTACCTCAGTTGCAATTTGTCCCCAGCTCTGGTTGGTTGTGCCAGTGGCAGTCATTCGATGTGTCCCTTTCACGTCGATGTTTCTCATTCTCTCTCTCCCTCCCACTCTATTGAACAAAATATGGAAAAAAAATAAAGTTAAAAAAAACACCACAATTTGATTGTCACAGATTGCTGCTTTTTACAATATGTATTTTTATTGATTTTAGAGAGAGAGAAAGGGAGAGGGGGTAACAGAGAGAGAAACATTGATGGATTGCCTTCCTGCAGACACCTCAACTTCACAACTGAACCAACAACCTGGGTATGTGCCCTGACCAGGAATTGAAACGGCGGAGCCATGCCAGCCAGTGCACAAATTGCTGCTTTTGAAAAAAATCTATATACTTACCGAGACAGGTCAGTTGGTTAGAGCATTGTCCTGATATGCCAAGGTTACAGGCTGGGTCACCAGTCAGAGCATGTACAAGAATCAACCAATGTATGCATAAATAAGTGGAACAACAAATCAATGTTTCCTCTCTCTCCCTCTCCCTCTCCCCTCCTTCCTCTCTGTCTAAAATCAATAAATAAGAAAATCGATATACTCACCTGAATTATTACCATCAGGATAAAGCAGTAAATTTCTTTGTTTTTTCATTTCATTTAACCAGTAATAACTTCAGAGAAAAGTAGTGAATATCCTATAAGCCAGAATCCAGAAAACCTTTCTGTGGACAAGTTTCAAGAGTCTCTGGGTAGTTCCATCAGTAAAAGTAAAGAACAAGAAGAGGAAAGGTAAGAAGTAGTAAATGTCAAATTATGGTATCTAAGTAACACTTTTACTTACATTGAACTCTTTTTTTTTTTTTATCCTCACCCAAGGACATTTTTCCATTTTTTGTTCAGATGGAGTGGAAGGGAGGGAGAGGGAGAGAGAGAGAGAGAAACATCGACGTGAAAGGGACACATCGAGTGGCTGCCACCCACACGACCAACCAGGGCCAGAACAAACTGCAACCGAGGTACATGCCCTTAGCAGGAACTGAACTCGGGTCTCTCTGGACCGCAGGCCGACACTCTAACCGCTGAGCAAAACCGTCCAGGGCACGTTGAACTCTTATTGTTAAATATTTTTCACTGTACTTTTTCTGGGTTTTTTGTAAACAGACATTAATCATAGAAAAATGTCAACAAGCCTAGAGGCTAATGGCAGATATCTCCAAGTCAGACCTTCCCCTAAATAAAGGGAAGGTTTTGCCTTTCTAGAAAAAGTTTATTGATTTACCCCAAGAAATATTCATGGTATCTTTCAGGGTATCTGTTCAAATCACTATTGAGATTAGACTGTATAGCACTTTATATTTTCAAAAATACTTGACTGCCTGGCTGGTGTGGCTCAGTGGATTGAGCATCGTCCCATGGACTGAGAGGTCTCAGTTTGATTCCCCAGTCAGGGCACATGCCAAGGTTGCAGGCTCAATCCCTAGTGGGGGGCATGTGGGAGGCTGCCAATGATGTTTCTCTCTCATATCAAAGTTTCTGTCTCTCCCTTCCTCTCTGTCTAGAAAATCAATAAAAAACATTTAAAAAACATATTAAAAAAATACCTATTTTCTCATTTGATCTTTACAACACTGTGAAGGTAAAAGGACAAGTTCTGGAGTATTATTCCTATTTTCACAGTTCAGGAAAGAGTCTCAGAGCCATTAGAGTCATACATCTCACCAATCTAGGGAGGAAGAGGAATTCATATTTATTGAATTCCTACTGAGTGTACGTATATTTTTACTTGTCTTTCTGGGACTAGTGACAAGTTGTCAAAAATCTCATTGCACCATCTTTTCCAAACCTCTTGGACCGGACTGAGGATATATTTTTGAGCCTGGGGTACTGGCACTGTGGCCTGACAGAAATAAAAGATCTGGGCTTTTTAGGCACTAAACTCATTATTAGAGGCAATGACTTCATTGCTGGACTTTAACTAGTTGATCTTATCAACCATTTAATATTCAGACAAAATATTTCTGTTCGTCTTCCCCGTCCCGCTAAGAGACTTCTGTCAAAGAACCTACACATTTGATTGAACTTCCTCCTCTACTATACTACTTGAGAGCAGCAGTTTAGGTCTTGCTCATCTTTAATCTACAGAACTTAGTTTTAGTGTCTGAATCCTAGTAAACGCCCAATTTGAATTAATTAGCTGATCTCTGAGGTCCTTAAATCTGTTAAGTACCTTAATCAGCAAAGATCTAAAACCTGAAAGAGTAAAGGAATCGTTTACTGTGTATATATACTCTTCTAATAGTGTTTTATAGCTGGCTTTTGTTTTTACAAGGACTCGACGTTGAAAAGGCAGAAGATAAGGATGATTCTATGCATTTTTCTAAAATTGGATATAGGAAGAATGAATCTGCCCTGGTCAGTTTGGCTCAGCGGTTAGAGTGTTGACACGTGCACCAGAGAGTCCTGGGCTTGGTTATCGCTAAGGGCACGTACCTTAGTTGTGGTTTGTCCCTGACCCCAGTTGGGGTCATGTGGGTGCAACCAATTGATATGTCTCTCTCACATCGATGTTTCTCTCTCTCTTCCTTCCACTCTATCAAGATAAATGCAAAAATGTCCTCGGGTGAGGATAAAAAAATAATAATTAAAAAAAAAAGAATGAATCTGACAATGATTTTCATTAAATTTCTGCTCACCTGAAGATATTTTTCTGTTTATCTTCAGTTAGAGTGGGAGGGGAAGGGAGGGGAAGGGGAAGGGAGAAACATCTAGGCAGTCACTTGGGTATCTCTCCAACAATGAGCTGTTTCACTTATACTTTGGTTGCCCAGGAAGTATAAGTCCTTTCATGAACTGTGGTGATGATTTTCTCCTTTCATCCTTTCTAGGTCTTCTGAATCCCAGTTGTTAGATCACAGGTGGTATGTATACCACCACTCACAGAGTCTTCGGAACAGAAACTGCCCATCTCAAAAAGAGTTCACTAAGGGTGTTGTTGAAGAGGTGCCACAACTAACCAAGTCTGAGGCCCAAGATTTAGTGGAGCAATCTTATTTGCCAAGACAAGATTTAGGTAATATTTCATCCGCTGTGTTGGACAAAACTTTTATTTTACACTGAATTTTATCTAAAGGTATTCTGGTTAATCATCTTTCAGATGTACTAGTATATCATGAATGCATCTGTTATACTTAAACCCATTTTTAAAAAATAGCTTGAATGTTGCCCTGGCCAGTGTGGCTCAGTGGATAGAGCATCGAGCTTGCTCACCAAGCAGTCTCAGGTTTGATTCCAGGTCAAGGGCAGGCACATACCTGGGTTGCAGGTATGATCCCTGGCCCCTGTCAGGGTGCATTCAGAAGGCAACCAATTGGTGTGTCTCTCTCACATCGATCTTTCTCTTTTGCTTCCTCCCTCCCTCCTTTCCACTCTTATCTAAAAATCAATGGAAAAATATTCTCGGATGACAACCAAAAAAAAAAAAGCTTGAGTGTTAATCCAAATTTACTTGAAAATTATTGCAGTTGTTAATCTGTCTATTGGTTTAATTCTTTTTGAAGATGATAGTCTTGATGTGTTCTAAATATTTCATTCCAACTGTTAGATAAGAGTTCTAGGGCCCTAGAATAAAGTTTTAGGCCTATCCTTGATTGAAAAAGGAGTCAGATCTCCACAGTAAGCTCTTACTTTCTGAATTAATGAATATAAATGACTATATATTTTATGCCTTACAAATCACTTTAAATTAATGGTATAGTTTTATGGCTTGTAAATAAAAATTTGAATTAGTAAAGAAAATTTTAAATTAATCCTCAAAAACACATTATCATAAAAGGTGCTCTTTGGCCCTGGCCGGTTTGACTCAGCGGTTAGACTGTCAGCCTGCGGTCCTGAGAGACCCGGGTTCGGTTCCCACTAAGGGCATGTACCTCGGTTGCAGTTTGTCCCCGGCCCTGGTTGGGTCGTGTGGGTGGCAACCACTCGACGTGTCCCTTTCACGTCGATGTTTCTCTCTCTCTCCCCCTCTCACTCTCTCTAAACAAAAAATGGAAAAAATGTCCTCGGGTGAGGATAAAAAATAAAAATAAAAAGGTGCTCTTTGGCATTTAAATGTGGTATTTGGCCATTTTTAGGAATCTCATATATTTTACTTAGTTATGCTTACTTCCTGATGGAGTGACATTTTCTAATTTATTTATTCATTTTTTTTTTATCCTCACCCGAGGATATTTTTCCATTTTTTGTACAGATAGAGTGGGAGGGAGAGAGAGGAAGGGAGAGAGAGAGAGAAACATCGACGTGAAGGGACACATCGAGTGGCTGCCACCCGCACGACCAACCAGGGCCGGGGACAAACTGCAACCGAAGTACGTGCCCTTAGCGGGAACCGAACCCGGGTCTCTCCGGACCGCAGGCGGACGCTCTAACCGCTGAGCCAAACCGGCCAGGGCAGGAGTGACATTTTCTGAAATGTTTCATGGATGGTCTCCTATTTTTAATTTGGTAATGATATCGTCAAGGATGACAAAACAAAAATTAGTCCTTCTCATATTTCAATCTTTTTTTCCCCCTTTCTTACTAAAGTACTATGTGTTCATTGCCAAACAGTTGGAGAATATGGGTAATAAAAAAGGTTATTTAAATTAGATAAAATAAATGACCAAAATTACAAAAAGCATACTTTACAGTATTTCATTTCATGGATTCTATGATGCAAATTTTTTCATGTTAGGACTCTGAAATAGGATAGCATCTTAAAATTGCATTAAAATATAACAAAATTTATTATCTTAATCATTTTTAAGTGTTCAGTCATGTTAAGTATATTTCCATTGTTGTGCAACTGTTCTCTAGAACTTGTTCATCTTGCGAAACTGAACCTGTACCCATTAAACAGCAACTCTCTACTCCCCCCTACCCCATCCTTTGTTTCTAAGATTTTGGCGACTTTAAATACTTCATATTAGTGGAATAGTAAAGCATTTGTCCTTTTGTGACTGACTTCTTTCACTTGGCACAGCAATTTTCAACCTTTTCATCTCATAACATACACATTAATTACAAAAATTCGGGAGCACACCAGAAAATATATTTTTTGCCCATCTAACCAAAAAAAAGTATGATTTTGATTCATTCACACCAGATGACTATTGTTGTATTGGCTGATGACATTTTTTTGTTTGACAGTCTAAGGAAAAAGAGGTCAGTGCCCCTGACTAAATAGGTCTGGTATTGCATATTTTAAAATTTCTTGCAGGCACACCATTGACAATCGCTGCCTTAGCATAATGTCCACATGTTTGTATCATGTGACAGGATTTTCTTCTTTTTTTAAAGCTATTCATACAACTTTTTAAAAAACATTGTATAGCCCTGGCCAGTTGTTCAGTGGTTAGAGCGTCGGCCTGCAGTCCAGAGAGACCTGGGTTCGGTTCCTGTTAAGGGCATGTACCTCGGTTGCAGTTTGTCCCTGTCTCTGGTTGGGTTGTGTGGGTGGCAACCACTCGATGTGTCTCTCTCACGTCGATGTTTCTCTGTCTCCCTCCCACTCTATATGAACAAAATAAATAAATAAATAAATAAATAAGAAACCATTGTATATGCCCTGGCTGGCTTGGCTTAGTGGTTAGAGTGTCTGCCTGTGGACTACAGGGTCGTGGGTTTGGTTCCTGGTCAGGGTCATGTACCTGGGTTACAGGTTTAAAAATTTTTTATTTTTTTATCCTCACTCAAGGACATTTTTCCATTTTTTATTCAGATAGAGCAGGAGGAAGAGAGAGAGAGACAAACATTGACGTGAAAGGGACACATGGAGTGGTTGCCACCCACACGACCCAACCAGGGCCAGGGACAAACTGCAATTGAGGTACATACCCTTAGCGGGAACTGAACCCGGGCCTCTCCGGACGCTCTAACCGCTTAGCCAAACCAGCCAGGGCGTACAGGTTTAATTCCTGGCCCCAGTCGGCAACCAACTGATATGTCTCTCTCACATCGATGTTGCTCTCTCTCCCTTTCACTCTGTCTAAAAAGTAATGGAAAAATCTCCTCTGGTGATTCAAAAGGAAAAAAGAAAAACTATTTTATGTATAGACCACGTTTTCTTTATCCATTCATTTATTGATAAACACTTGGGTTGCATTCGCTCTTGGCGATTATAAATAATGCTGCAGTGGACATAAGTATGTACATTTCTGTGTTTCATAGTAATTAAATTTAATTGGTGAAGAAGACTTAATTGGAATAGATTTAGGTTGTTTTAGCGGGAACTGAACCCGGGTCTCTCCGGACCGCAGGCCAATGCTCTAACCACTGAACCAAACTGGCCAGGGCGATTTAGGTTGTTTTTAAAACTTTACTATTATAAACAATATTGCCCGGCCAGTGTGGCTCAGTGGTTGAGTGTTGAACCATGCACCAAGAGGTCGCCAGTTTTATTCCCAGTCAGGGCACATGCCCACATTGTGGGCCAAATTACCATTGGGGGCCATGCACAAGGGAGCCAGTTAATGTTCTCTCTCTCATCGATGTTTCTACCTCTCTCCCTCTCCCTTCCAATCTCTCTAAAATCAATAAAGAAAAAAAATTTTTTTAAATCATAATATGTGCTCACTTCGGCACCACATATACTAAAATTGGAACGATACAGAGAAGATTAGCATGGCCCCTGTGCAAGGATTACACGCAAATTCATGAAGTGTTCCATGTTTTAAAAAAAACAATATTGCAGTGGACATTTCTATGACTAAGCTTGTGCATACATCTTTTATCTCATTAGGATACATTTCTAAAACTTTAATTATTTACTGAAAGTGTAAACACACATGGCTTTTGGAATGTAATGACAAATTGTTTTTTAAAAAAGTTAAGTCACCGACCTAGCCAGTTTGGCTTAGCAGTTAGAACTTTGGTCCGAGGAACAGAGAGTCCCAGGTTCAGTTCCCACTAAGGGCATGCACCTCGGTTCCAGTTTGTCCCCAGCCCTGGTTGGGGTCATGTGGGTGGCAACCACTCAGTGTTTCTCTCTTCCTCCCTCTATCCCTCCTACTCTATCTGAAGATAAATGAAAAGTGTCCTCAGGTGAGGATAAAAAAAAGAAAGTTAATTCACCACACTGGCTAGTTTGGCTCACGGTTAGAGCATCGGCCCACAGACCAATGAGTCCGGGTTCGATTCAGTCACCTTGCACCTAACTTGATCTTTTTTTTTTAAATCCACACCTGAGGATATTTTTCCATTCATCTTCAGATAGAGAAGGGGAGAGAGAGAAAGAGAGAGAGAGAAGCATCGCCATGAGTTGACTCCCTCACCACCCCAACCAGGGCTGGGGATCAAACTTCAACTGAGGTACATGCCCCTGACCAGAATCGACCCCTCAACTCCTTGGTCTGCAGGACCATGCTCCAATAGCTGAGTCCAACTGGCCTGGGCACTTGATCTGTCTTTTTAATTTGTAGCAGAAACTAGATGTTGTAATTCAAGATTCATTGTTACGTAGATTAAATTTCTTCCCCATTCCTTTCAGAGGGAACCCCTTACCTAGAATCTGGAATCAGCCTCTTCTCTGATGACCCAGAGTCTGAAGACAGAGCTTCAGAGCCAATTCATGTTTATAGCATACCAACTTCAGCCTCTGCATTGAAATTACCCCAATGTCAAGTTGAAGAATCTGCCAAGAGTCAAGTGGTTGCTCATACTACTAATACTGCTGGGTATAATGTGAGGGAAGAAACTGTGAGCAGGGAGAAGCCAGAAGTGATATCTTCAATAAAAACAGTCAACGAAAGAATATCTATGGTGGCATCAGGCTTGACCTCAAAAGAATTTGTAAGTGTGTCCATATATATCTCCCTAAAGACAGAGACTTCATTAACATACTACAATAGTTTTAAATAGGTACTAGCAATAAATAACTTACAGGAAGAAATCTAGGAAGCAGGCACAATTCTATGTAATATAATTTTCATTACTAATTTCTGAAATTTTGAGCCTAGGTAGAACTCTAGCATGGATTATTTTGTATAAATTTACTTATGAAACTAGTATTAGTCTGGCCCGTGTGGCTCAGTGGTTAAGCATCGACCCATGCACCAAGAGGTTGCTGGTTCGATTCCTGGTCAGGACACATGCCCAGGTTGTGGGCCCAATCCTCAGTGGAGGGCATGCTGGAGGCAGCCACTCAATGTTCTCTCTCATCGATGTTTCTGTCTTTCTCTTTCTCTCTCTTCCTCTCTCTTTGAGGATAAATAAAGAAAAATAGTTATTAGCCCTGGCTGCATGGCTCATTTAGTTAGAGCATCATCTTGATATGCCAACGGTGTGTGTTCAATCCTTGGTCAGGGCACATACAAAGAGCAACCAATGAGCCCTGGTCGGTTTGGCTCAGCTGTTAGAGCAGAGTGTCAACGTGCGGACCAATGAGTTGCAGGTTCAATTTTGGCCAAGGGCACGTACCTCGGTTGCAGTTTATCCCCAGCCCTGGTTGGGTCGTGCGGAAGGCAACTAGTCGATGTGGCTCTATCACATCGATGTTTTTCTGTGTCTCTCTCTCACTCTCTCCCTCCCACTCTGATGATAAATGGAAAAGTATCCTCGTGGGAGGAATAAAAATTTAAACAAAGAAGCAACCAATAAATGCATAAATAAGTGGAACAACAAGTTGATGTCTCTCTATCAAATAAATTTTTTACAAAACAATTATTCAGTATTAGCAGAGAGACTATAGTTTTGGGTATGATATAGAGCTTTTTTCATTTTCATTTTATTTATTTATTATTATTTTATTTTTTAGAGAGGAAGGGAAAGAGAAAAACATCAATGTGAGAGAGAAACATCTATCGGCTGCCTCCTGCATACTCCCCATTGGGGATCGAGCCCAAAACCCAGGCATGTACCCTGACTGGGAATCGAACCAGGACCTCTCAGTCCCTGGGATGACGCTCCATCCACTGAGCCACACCGGCCAGCTTATTTTTATTTTAAAAAGCAAGTAGATGTAGCTATGCTCCCCAGAAGATATCTTTTCCCCACCTTGGTTCACATCTGAGAGAACACACCAGCATGATTAATTAAATTCAAACTGGTTTTGCCCGGCCGGTGTGGCTTAGTGGTTGAGCATCAACCCATGCACCAAGAGGTCGCCGGTTCGATTGCCACTCAGCGCACATGCCCAATACGGGGCATGGCGGAGACGGCCGATAGATGTTCTCTCTCATCGATGCATCAACCCATGCACCAAGAGGTCGCCGGTTCGATTGCCAGTCAGCGCACATGCCCAATACGGGGCATGGCGGAGGCGGCCGATAGATGTTCTCTCTCATCGATGTTTCTATCTCTCTCTCTCCCCCTCTCCCTTTATTTCTCTCTAAAAATAAGTAAAGAAAAAAAATGTTTTAACATCGGTTCCAAGCCACTGCCAGGTAATAGCATTTCTTCAGTGTTTATTTGCTTTTATCCTGGCTTGTGACACAGTTATTCAATAGCCTGCCCTATCATTTCAGTAGTCCCTCCTCCCTATGAAGGTTCTGACATATCCTTGGGCCTCTCATGCCAGAAACAGGAATTGTTTCACACTGTGGAATATACCCATTAAAATACTAAGACCACTGAAACATTGCTTCTAATTGGGCTGAGTGTAGGTTTTAGACGTCTTAGGAAATTTAACTCCCACATAATTAATCATCGTTGGTATCACTTCATAATAAAATAATTGAGTGGATATATCTTAAAGAACCATGATAACACACCAGAGTATCAAATGGATTCAATAGTGGGTGTAATTTATTACACATTACGAGATGACCCATTCCTTCTTAAGTATCTTTCTTAATATATCCTTCCTAGGATAAGAACCATTTCTCATTCTAAGTTCTCTATGGGTAGCAGCTTAGCATAACATTCTTCTTGGCCAAATGTGCCCCAATACTAAAAGGACAAAGGTAAGCTGTGTCTGCCCTAGAAGATACAATGAATAAATTCTCATCATTAATGCTAGAATTCTAATTTCACAACCAGGTGCCCAGACTAGCTATTTGCTCTGAAAATTGATACCTGTATCTGTTTATGTTGCTCTTGATCATTTGCCTACATATCTAGAATTCCCATTTATTCATTGAAAATTAGCATTCCTTATTTGTTTTGAAGTTTAGCTTTTCAGAGAAAGCTAAAATGATCTAATTTTTCTTGCCATGGGCAATTCTGAGCTGCAGATTAAACTGTAAGTGGCTTGGGTACATATTGTCTTTAAACGAGCAAAGAGGAAAAATTTTCAGCTCTATTCAGATTTGAAGTGTGGTCAGTTTATTATGAAAGCTGCCGACTGTATTACACATGATTAATTCTGAAGCCCATTTTAAGATGATCTTTTCAGCAGTTGCTCTTCTAACTTAACACAGTTCAAGGCTGAGGCTTCAGCAATTAATGAGTTCAGAATTGCTAATGATCCTGGTAGAGGGCAGTGGCAGAATGGAGGAGGATGTCATTAGCTTCTCTAGCCTGCGTTTTCAGTGCCCTGTGGCCGTATGGAATGAGGCAGCATGAAAGAAGAGTAGCCTGATCTCCATTGTAATATTGTGCAGCACATAAATATTGGCGTGGGTGGCGATGGCTCATAAATGATGGCTCTTGGAAAACAGTTATTTACCAAAGAGTACCTACTAATTATGTCAACTCTGTTCATAATGGATCTGGTTAATTTCTTTTACTTCCTATTGATTTTTATTTGGTTGATAGAGAATAGCTAGAAGGCTCAAGATTTCTTTTGGGAATAATATGAGTTTCTTCCAGTTCTCTTCTTAAAAGGAATTGATAGTTTTTACATGCTTGACTTGAATGTTTTATAGCTATCAGAGGGTTGCATCTTGTTTGTTTGCTTGTTTTAATCCTCACCCAAGGACATGCTTAGAGAGAGAAACGTCGATGTGAGAGAGAAACATGGATCAGTTGCCTTCCCTATGTGTCCCAACTGAGAATCAAACTGGCAACCTTTCAGTGATAGGATGATGCTCAACCAACAGAGCCATTCTGACCAGGCGCATCTTGTTTTTAAGCCATATACCTGTAACATAACTTTCTGTGTAGGCTAGTTACCTCTCAGCTCATATAGTGTAGGCTGATAAATCTGTATTATAGTATAGTAGAGTAACACACACAAAGAAACTAGATATCTTAGGGAATGCAATGATACCTGCTATTAAAGGGAAAATTAATATTATTTTGAATTCTTGGTTATTGTTCATGTCTCCTAGCATGAATTACTTTAGAATGTTTTCCTCTGATTTGTACATAATTTGCATTAAATTGCTATTTATTTTGAGATTTCAGACATGCTAGAATAAAAAATGTACCTTTTCTGGGAGAAAAAAAATGTTAATTCAAAGCTAGGATAACTAATGCTCTGAGCTCTGCTAGAGGTAATTTATAATAATATTTGATTTGATTTCAGATGCTTGTGCACAAATTTGCCAGAAAACACCACATCTCTTTAACAAATGTAATTACTGAAGAGACTACTCATGTCATCATGAAAACAGGTATACCAAGAACCTTTATAGTACGTGTTGCATCTATTACATAGAACTACATGGAGAAACGAAAGTATGTATTAAGCATAGCATGGGTGAAAGTCTTCCAGTAGTCTATCAATTATTGTTTTGTGAAAGAAAAAATAATAGTTTTGCTACATCCCGTGACCTGCTTTTGTTTTGGGTTAAGATTTGGAGAGTGGTGAACCAGAACCACGAACCACTTCTGCTAGTCCACCCTACCTGGACTGCTCTGTGTGAAGGGCTGTCTGGTAAGGCAGAGCTCAAGTCCTGGAGGAACAAATGGGGCAAAGAGGAGAATGGGACGGAACTGAGTCTTTATTCAAAATCTGGGTGGTTGAAAACCCTAGCTCCATGTCCATTCCATGCCCTAGCTTCACACAAACACTAGTTTGAATGTGATTGAGAGTTTTTCAGGAAATAAGTCCAATGTCAGCTCTGAGATAGCCTAGCATATGAAGAAGGGAGAACAGAAAGGGAAAATTCGTTTGTCCTACACCTTCCCCTTTTAAGTCCTAATTATGACTCCAGTGATCACAGAGACCTCAAAGGCTTTTAGTTGGCTGTAAGCTAAATCTGAGTAAATGTTTCAGGGCTGCTAAAAGGCTTGCTTGAAATTGGGCCTGTTTAACGCAATCCTAATGTCTATAGCAAGTAAAGTAAAAATCCTGACCCCCCCACTCCCCCACCCCCCGTTTTCTGCTGGGATGACCGGAAGACGCGTACTCTGTTTTGAGCACTACACTTTCCTTTTAAGCTGGTCACTGACATGTTAGAGAGTGTTTATCCAGAAGTTGATGATGAAAAGGGATTCCAAACAATGTCATTTGAAGAACAGATGAAGCAATAAGACTTAAGGAACAAGACCACTGTCTTCAAATGTTTGACGATTTGTCATTTGGAAGAGGAATTAGACATGCTCACGGGCTTCAGGAAGCAGAGACCAGTCAGTGCATGCGGCACACTTTCTAACAAAGCTACTCAGGAAATCAACGGTCCACTGTTCACTTTGCTGCAGGTCCTTGAGTAGAGGGTCCGGACCCCTTAGCAGGGGCACATTGCTTTAGAACCTCTAAGGTTCCACAGATCGTTCCACGGGGTCAGAGGATAATACTCACAGGAACCAGGTGCCAGAAAAAGTTACCTCAAACCAAGTACTGCTTGAGAGTTGAATGTCATTAAAGTTTAATATATCTTAAGCTATAGGTTTGGATCAAAGCTGCTGGAAGGTGAAGAGAAAACTTTAAAATGTAAATTAAATCTAAAGTAATTAGTCTTTAAAATCAAAGGCAATAAAACTGTTGAAGTAAAAATGAGCTAACATTTCTGAGTTTAAAGCATATTATTAAATCAACTTTCACAGCAGTTAAATAAAAAGCTATAAAACTGTGATGAAAGAAAAAAGATTTTAATAATTCGTGAACAATTCTGTGAGGGAGAATGGCTCTTGCTACTACTGGCAGGTGGACTGCAGTGCTTAGGATTTAGTTAAATACATTTATTTCCTCATTTTGCTTAGTTCCTCAAAGTGGTTTATGAAACACTAGGATATAAACAGAAGTGATTCTTCAGCTATTGCTTTCTGAAATACATATGCAATGGGGAGCAAAGCTGTGAAAGTACTCTGTATTTTTCTGTTCCTCTTGGATAACTAGGAATTAAGAGGTTAGGATTCTCCAGGTAGAAGTCTGCGGGTGAAAATGTGTCACTTAATTGACATTTCAGATACAGGATTTTAACAACACTGTTTTTTTCTCCTTCTATATGTTGCCATCCAGTAAAATAAATCTTCCCCATCCACATGTATCAATACTACTGATGTGGATAATTCCTTGAACACAGGGATGGAAGTCTGTAGCCAGTCTTAGCATCTAGAAGAAAGGGCAGACATTTCTTCTGGTTTTAACTTCATATAAGACTTTTTCAACTTCCAAAGACCCACACATGCTGGTTATAATTAGGGGTGTTTGCAGCCTCTAATTCTGTCACCAGGGTATTGGAATCATCGATCCAGATTGGTTTCAAGTAGCATATGGATTTGAAACTCTTTAGCTTATTAGAGCAGCACTTCTGACTCTGTTTTCAACTTCTGATCCTTTGGATATTTTTCATTCTGCAGATGCTGAGTTTGTATGTGAACGGACACTGAAATATTTTCTAGGAATTGCAGGAGGAAAATGGGTAGTTAGCTATTTCTGTAAGTACAGCATGTTTCTTCCCTCTTCCCTGCAACACTTCAGAATTGCATATTTACATTTAACATCTTAACACCCAAGGTTTTTTTTGTGTTTTTTTTTTTGCTGATGCTGAATCTGAATAACCTAAAGGTCTTTTATGATAACTCTAAACTAGCTTTATTTTTAATGCATATGGATTTCTTATAACTAATAGGACCTAATTGGCTCCTAGCAATGTTAGCATAGAACTAGGGATTTGTTTAATAGTAATCAGAAATCTGTGTGCGGCAGGCACTGTTCCAGTGTTTGGATTAAGTGTCAACTGTGTTTCCAGAAAGAAATCTCTACTACAAGTCTTACTAAGGAACTGGGGCTTTATTGTGACGGGACTTCTGCTCAGTGTTATTCCTCCCGGGCATTTACGTGAATCATTTCATCATCCACCTCCGCAAAAAGAGCATGTTCTGCATTGTGACCTCTCTTTTCTGTGATTTCTTTAGGGGTGACCCAGTCTATTAAAGAAAGAAAGATTCTAGATGAGGTAGGTACTCGTTGTTGCAAACTAATCAGAAAGACTTCATACTGCTGAGTCACTTAATCACTGGGAATGTAGCTGCTTCCTTCCTTGCACCACTTTCCACAGATTTTCTTTGTTGATGGGGATGGTCAAGAGTTATGCAGAGTAAACCCGGAAATTCTGTGTCCTCACTCGCTTGTTCTGAATTTCAGTAGAAATAATCCTTTTCTTGGAGGAAGAAAAAGAAATTCAAAAAGCAGAAAAAAGATTCATAAAAAAAAGCACTAGACCCACCTAAATCTACATGCATAGACCTTGATAGAGAACTGGTTGTTCACTGTTGTTGAAGAAAAAGCCTTCACATAAATATGCAAATGTATTTGTTTAGAAATCAGGTTCCTTTGGAGAGATGTTACTCTCTGATACTGAGAATAGTGAGAGGGAAATAAGATGAGTATAGAAGGATAAATAATTTTAGAACAGAGCTATCTAAGAGCTGCTGGTGACAACAGATCAGGGAAACTAAAGCTAGCAAGTATTCAGTATATTCATAATTAATTAAGTGATATTTGTATTTGTTTTAACTTTCATTCAGTGGCTTATATTATTGGGAACCTACTTTGTGCTGAACACCAAGAATACAGCAGTAAGCAACACTGACAGATCATGCTCTTGTCAGGTTCTTGTTCTGTTGAGAGAAAATACACAATAATAAAGATAATTTAAGATACCAATAAATACAGTGAACAGCAGGTTGACTACTTTAGTTAAGGAGATCAGGGGTGACTTTTGAAACGCTGGAGCTGAAACCTAAAACACAAAGAATTGGCCTTGGAAAATATAGGTAACAAGTGTAGGCAGCAGAACAGCAAGCATAAAGTTCATGCGGTAAGGATGACCTTATTTGTTAAGAAAAATAGACTAGTGTAGCTTTGTGAATAATCAGCATGGAGCAGAGGTTAGACAAGGGGTTAGAGAAGGTCAGAGACAAGGGCCAGATCAGGTAGGATATGGTATAAGTCATGTAACCAATATGAATTGGGAACATCAAGATGGTATGAAGAGGTTAGTTTAAGATATGTTTGGAGAAAGGACTTCCTAATGGGTTATATTTGGAAGATGAGGTAAAGGGGGGAATTGAGAGGGTGATGCTTAGGTTTTCGCCTGAATTACAGGATGGATGTTAGTAATGCTAAATTGGGCAAGGAAGACGGAGGAGGTACATAGTGGGGGATTGGGGCAGGTAGAATCAAGAGTTTATTTTAAATTACATCAATAACAATCAGTTTTTTAAAACGTTCTTTTTTACATGTGTAACTTTGGGGACTTACACTAGACATCCAGGTAGAGAGGTTAAGTCAGGACAGGGGTACATTCAGGCCTATAAATTTGAGGGTCATCTCCAAATAGATGACACATTTATTATTAGAATCTTCTCACTCAAGCAACTAGGAAGTATTAAGTGGTCCTTCCCCTAATTTAAGCCTGTGGTTATACTATCATGACTTTATTTTGCAATACTCTTGGCAATAGATATGATCTTCCCCTACAACCTGAGTTCCATTCAGAATTGTTTCTAAGCATTCTTCCTCTAATTTCTCCCAAAAGCTCTAACCTCCCCAATCCCATTATTCTCATCCTTGACCAGTCAAAATACTGATAAGCAAAACCTTTTTCTTCAGTGTATTACGTGTATAGTTTATTAATTTGGTTTCATTAACTAAATCAGTGAAAATCTGAAAAGCCCTTAGATGGTAATTGATATAAGAGATCAGGAATTCTCCAGTTATCCTTGTAACAGCACAGTATTAGCAGTTTAATCTAAATGCTAAGTGAATGTTTTGAGAGGAGATAGATGTTGAAAATTAAAATACATTAAGTTCCAGTGAGGTGAAAAGCCAATTGTTAATTTCTGCCCACAAAGATTTGCTTCAGGGGATTGATTTCAGCAGCTGAGATGCTGGTCGTTTCATCCAGTCCACCAAAAAGAATGATTTGAGAGTAGCAGTCAAAACAATACTCAGTTCCTTACTACAACAAATCTACTCTGCTTCCATTGAAGGAGGCTTCCCTTTCTCTGATCACTGTGGTTTGCATTTGTCTTCTTTCAGCGTGATTTTGAAGTCAGGGGAGATGTTATCAATGGAAGGAACCACCAAGGTCCAAAGCGAGCAAGAGAATCCCAGGACAAAAAGGTAAAGCCCTCCTCCCTCGTATTGACAAAAACCCTACCAACCCTCTGCATTCCAGCCCCCTTAGTTCGTCTTTTTTTTTTATTCTCACCCAAGGATATTTTTGCATTCATCTTCAGATAGAGTGGGATGGGGAGAGGGAGGAAGAGAGAGAGAGAAACATTGATGTGAGAGAGACACATCGAGTGGTTGCCACCCACAGGACTCCAAACGGAGTGGGGGACAAACTGCAACTGAGGTACGTGCCCTTAGCAGGAACTGAATCCAGTACTCTCTGGTCTGCAGGCCAACGCTCTAACCACTGAGCCAAACCTGCTAAGGCTTAGTTCATCTTTTAAAGGATATTACATACTGCTAGGTGCTTCCATATAGTTTCTTTTTTAGTCCTAGCCCAACAAGGTAAATAAGTATTGTATCCATTTTATGAATGAAGGGGCTTAGAGGTTTAGAGAAACAATGTAATTTGGTCCAGTCTGGGGTTCAAATGTGAGCTGATAAGTGGCAGAGCTGGTATTTGAAACAAATATGAATCAAAGCCTTTGTTCTTTCCACTTCACTATAGTGTCTTGCTCTAAAGCAGTGTGGTAAGTACTAATAAAGAGGATGTATGCAGTGATTTCTGTGGATGCACAGAAGAGAAATTGTTTGATAATCAACAGCTAACATCTATATAATGTTCACTATATGCCGGTTCTAAACACTCAACCATAGTTTAACTGATTAACAATTTTACAGTAACTTTATGAGACGTGTACAATAATTATGCCTATTTTATAGATGAGAAAATTGAGGCTCAGAGAGATAGAGTAAGTTGCTCAAGCTTGCACAGCTATTTGTGAACCCACAACTGGAAGTTGAACCCAGGCAGTCTAGCTCCAGAATCTGTTTGTATTGATTTTTTAGAGAGAGGAAGGCAGATATAGAAACATCAATGTGAGAGAGAAACACCGATTGGCTACCTCTGCATGACTCCTGCTGGGGATGGAGCCCGCATCCCAGGCATGTGCCCTGACCGGGAACTAAACCAGAACCTCTCAGTCCATGGGATGATGCTCAATCCACTGAGGCACACCGACTGAGATATTGGTTGATTTTAGAGAGAAAGGGAAGAAGGAAGAGAGAGAGAGAAACATCGATTTCTAGTTCCACTCATTTATGCATTCATTGATTGATTCTTGTATGCGCCATCACTGGGAATCAAACTGAAACCTTGGTGTACCCAGACGACGCTCTAACCAACTGAGCTATCTGACCAGGGCCTGCAATCTGAGCTATTTATTTATTTATTTATTTATTTATTTATTTATTTTTTATCCTCACCCGAATACATTTTTTCATTTTTTTTTTGTTCAGATAGAGTGGGAGGGAGAGAGACAGAGGGAAACATCGATGTGAAAGGTACACCTCAAGTGGCTGCCACCCACACAACCCAATCAGGGCCGGGGACAAACTGAAACCGAGGTACATGCCCTTAGCATGAACCGAACCTGGGTCTCTCTGGACCGCAGGCCAACGCTCTAACCGCTGAGCCAAACCGGCCAGGTCGCAATTTGAGCTCTTAATGACAACATTATAGTTTCTTGGAAAATTATAGGTTTCACCCAGGAGAAAAATAGATTATTCTTACATCTTTGAAAATGAAGGACTAGAGGCCCAGGAGCACTCAGTGACGTTCCCTAGATCATCCTGTAGCAAATGATGTAGCCAAAATGGTGTCCTTCTCTCAGGGAGAAGTTCAGGCAAGATTTCACCCCTGTCTGTCAGGCCTGATCCAGCCCAGCAGCTTTCTCAGGTCCCTGACTGAGTGCGTATGTTCCTGGTCTGCGTTTCTTCCTCTTACAAGTGTGCACTGCCAGGCATTTTGGAGCATCCCCGACAAGGAGCACCTTCTGTCCCTTGACAGAACTTGAGAGAGAACCAATAGAGGTGATTTTCCAAGTAAAACTGCTTTGGGAAATGATCACAGATCAAGCCCTAGAGTTCTGAACCCCTGGGGTCAGCCTACCCTCACCTTGCTAACCAATCAAGTAACTTCCCGATGCCAAGAAAAGCTGCTGCCCCTATTTCTGTTTCTGCCTTCACCCCAGGGGAGCTCTGTGTGAGCCAGCCATTAAAAAAGAAAAAAGGTACAGAGTTAGTGAAGTGAGCCGACTGGGCTGCGTAGGCTCAGGACAGAAGTTACAGAAGCTACAGAAGCAAAAAACTGGCCCTTGCAATTTAGGAGAGAAAGGTAAAGGTAATGTGCCTGGGGCAAGAAGAGGGGACAGGAAAAGTGAGGGCATGCTCTCTAGAGGGAGAGGCAGCCCCAGCCATTTGTTTTTATTCCATTGTATGCAAGACAGAACTAGCACCAGATTTTTTTTCTTTCCTTCAAAGAAATTTCAGTGTTTTTGTGTTTTTCCTGCATTTGGGGTGGCAATGATTGGAAGTATCTGGTCAAAGTAATGACATTCTGAAGATACAACATATCACCATAGTTTTTTTCTGTGGAAGAGAAATGTATTTGTAGAGGTGAAACTTCAAATTTCTTATCTCATAACTAGACATCCTCCTCAATGAGTATCAGCCTGGATGGAAAAAAATCTAATCTTTTATACTTTTTTAATTTTTTTTTAATCCTCATCTGAGGACATTTTTTCATTTTTTGTTCAGATAAGAGTGGGAGGTAGAGAGAGGGAGAGAGAGAGAGAGAGAGACATCGACACCGACGTGAAAGGGACACATCGAGTGGCTGCCACCTGCACAACCCAACCAGGGCCAGGGACAAACTGCAGTTGAGCTACGCGCCCTTAGCGGAAATCGAATCCAGGTCTCTCTGGACTGCAGGCTGACACTCTAGCCACGGAACCAAACTGGCCAGGGCTAATCTTTTATACTTTTTACAGCAACATTTGGCTCCAACTGGCTGCCCCAGGAGCACTTTTAACATTGAGCATCTAGGTCCTGTCACCAGGTTGGGGAGTTAGTTTACTCCTACAGTGAGAATGGCACAGATGGAGACTGTCACCTAAAACAGAAATAGATTTGTCTTGTTGTCCTTTCTCATTCCTCTGGCTGTAGTTAACATGGGGGAGGGGGACATTTCCTAAAAGGTCTTCCTGTGCTTCTAGCTTCCTAGGCAATTTTCTTTTTAGTGGAACAGGGAAGAAAACGAGGGTTATTCAAATGATATATATATCCAGCCAACTGGCACAAATTTCTATTTCTTTTTTTTTTTTAAGAGAGAGTCAGTGACAGGGAGATAAACATCAGTGGTTGCCTCCTCCCAGGCTGGGGATCAAACTTGTAACCCAGGTATGTGCCCTTGACCAGGAATTGAACCCAAAACATCGGTACCAGGGCCGAGCAACACACGCCATGGCTACATTTCTTCTTTTAAATGATACCCAAGTTCTTCCGTAAGAACCAATGCCAACACCTATGTAAGAATTTGTTTGTCTGGCACAGTAGCTACCAGCCACATGATGCTTTTTAAATTGTAAATAACTAAACTTAAAAAATATATGAAGTTTAGTTTCTCATTTATCTTAACCACGTTTTAGGTGCTCAGTAGCTCCTGAGTAATACAAATCTAGAACATTTCTATCAGTGCTATAGAGCACTGTAAGTGGAAGAGGCCCCTAGGAGGTTCAGTGGGATCTGTGTCTCCTGGAAACCAGGAGTCAGGTCAGCTCCATGAGGAGAGGCAGAACCATGCTTCACTTCCTCTCCTGCAGGAACAATGGGCATTGTCAGGGCGGTATTGATGCAAGAACAGATGCTCAGAGACGAGAAGAAGGTCAGGAAAAGGATGTACATATACAATAAATGTAGACCTTTCTGCCATTTAGAGTCATGGTTAGCTAGTACTGATGTACCAGGTTTGGATAAACATCAAACGTCAACTGATAGCTGAATTTCTTACCATTAAACAGAAGAAGGAACCTTTTTCCCCCTCTAACAAGACATAAAGTCACCTGGAAAACGTCATCAGGGAGGACCTGGGCCTGACTGGTGACAAGGTGGGCTGCTCAGGCCTTGAATGGCAAAGCGTAACTGCAGAGTCGATCAACTGCATACACACTTCAAAACCATCTTCTAAAATCCACCAGCATTCTGGGCATTGGACTGATTGTCTCTGGGAAGTAGTAGCAGAAATAGTCAGGTAGTGAAGAAAAGATAAAAGAAAGTTCTTAATTTCTGAGTGTCTCTTTATGTTGTTTTTTATAAAACTCATACTCTTGTAACTACTGTTTCTTTCTTTCTCTCTGTTCCTTTCTTCTCCAAGATCTTCAGGGGCCTAGAAATCTGTTGCTATGGACCTTTTACCAACATGCCCACAGGTAAGAGTCTGGGGGAACTGCAGAGTCCAGCATCACCCTTTCCCTTACATAGTAGCGTGTTGTAGGAGGGGTCATTTTCTGGGGTTTCCTCAGATTGGTGAAAGGTTAGTCTATTTCTCTATTACCCGTCAGACAAAACTGCACTTAAATGCTACCCTGTGACAAAGAAAACAAAAACAAAAAACTAGCCCTGTGCCCCTTCTCAAGAGCTAGAAGGCAGTGAAGAATTAATATCTAGGACATAGTATGTTCTGTGTTCAGGTGAGATAGAGCTGCTCTTACTGTCCTGTGGTGTAAGAACAGGGGAGGAATAAGTTAAGGAGAGAGTTCTGCTCTTCCTAAACCATCTTCATTTGGTAGTGAGGAAAGCACAGCAGCTGCACAAGCCCTGTGCACCTGGGCCCCCCATGCAGGCCCACAGCAGGGGAAGACTTGAACATTTTCTAATCAAGTTTGACACTGAATGTGATGTTGTGTTTAAGAGTGCTGTGGGACTTACCTCGAGTTGTGCAGTACTGAGGCTCGAGTGTGTGCATAGATTTGATTTGTTCTTTCAAAACGAAGGCTACCCACTTTTACCTCTGTGCACACTTCTGCCCCAGGGATCAGGTCCTCTTACCTCTCAGAAGACGGCCTTGGTTTATGGTCAGGGATAGATGAGTGGCAGCAAGAGAGCTGGGCAATGTAATTTGGCTTATGTCTTCTTTATTGGTTACTGATTGAATTTTTATGAAATTTCAGTGTGCCACACATAGGTTCCTAAGTGGTTTTGTACTTTGGGATAATGAAACCAAGGCCTCTAGCAGGTATCATTTTGGAGGTGAGTCAGTTGAGCACCTTAGCAATCCCCAAAAATGGGTCGATTGAAAAGAGCCACCCAAAGGGGTCCAGAAGCCACCCCATTGGTCAGTTCTGTTAAGTTTTCAGGTACAAGTACAATCCAGGTACAATCTCTTCTGATTTCTATTTTCCAGCTCAGCATATAACCTTTCCCAGATAAGTCTCTGTCCAGGGTAACAAGTATTTGTTTTGTTTTGTTTTTGTTAATCCACACCCAAGGATATTTTTCCATTGACTTTGGGGGGGGGGGCATCAATGTGAGCGAGACTCATTGATTGGTTGCCTCTTGCACAGCCCTGGGGGCCAGGGCTGTGGCCCAGATCAAATACCTGCCCTTGACCAGGAATCGAACCTTTGACCCAACCACTGAGCTATACTTGCCAGGGCTGTGTGTTTGTTTGTTTGTTTAATGAATTATGTTCCTATCTCTTGACATTTACAGTAATCACTACCATGGTATGATGCCCTCGGTGGCTGTGATTATCAATTACCAACATAGAATTAGGCAAAGAGGGAAGGAAGACAGGTGGATGTTTTTTCACAGTATCTTAGCCAGCAACTTAGCAAATTAATGGAAATTAGATCTTTTTTTTCTTGTGGGTTTTTTTTTTTTTTTTTGACAGTATTAAATGTTATCTACAAGTGGCCTAATGGGGTCTGATAACCAGAGTAAGTAGCATATCAGTGGCAAATTAACTTAGAATCTATACCCCTCTGGCATAAGGCCTTTCTGCCCCTTTGGAGCAAAGAGACATGGACTCCCGCTGAGAAATGTTGCTGTAAGCCTTCATTCAGAGGAGTATAGGGTAGGGAGCCTAGGTTAAATGTGTAGATTACTGTGCTGATTTTGTGTCTGAATGCCTGTTTAGATCAACTAGAGTGGATGGTGCAGCTTTGTGGGGCTTCTGTGGTGAAGGAGCCTTCATCCTTCACCCTCGGCAAGGTAAGCATTTGGTGCCTGTCAGAGGGCGAGGACACAGTATTCTATATGGTGACTGAGCAGGATGGCACGCATCAGGCCCTGTGAACCACTCCTCTACACCCCAGTGTAGCCTGAGAAGCCTCTCTTCACCCCAAGCCTTCTCTGACCACATATCTGTGCCAGAAGACTCTCATCTATAAGGGAGGAGTAAGGATCTGAGAGCTCTAAGTATTTCCTATACTGAGGGAAGGGTCTTTACCTCGAATCCTTTTTGCTGTGTGCCCTTCCCCCTCCTTTGTGTGGTTGCCCCAGAGTAGCCTGCTTCAGCACCCTATCAGAAATGGTGAAGTGCCTGTTCCCAAAGTCCTGTTCTGTTACCATCAATATTGTTTCCTTCCTGGGGATGCAGGGTACTCACCCCATTGTGGTCATGCAGCCAGATGCCTGGATAGATGACAGCGGCCTCCACGGTAAGTCTTGCTGTGGGCCTTCATCCAGAAGAGTGTGGGGGAGAGGGCCCAGGTCGAGTGTGCAGGTTACTGTGGTGATTTTAGGTTGAAATGTCTTGTTTAAACCAACTAGAGTGGATGGTGCACCTGTGTGTGGCTTCAGAAGGCCACAAGCATGTGCCTGTGTCATATGGAGTCCTATGAGATGAGTTTGGTTCACCACAGGTTACCCAGTGCTTAATTAACACAGTTCCAGTGCATTCAAGGTACTCAGTAAATATTTGTTGAATGAGTGAATGGCTAAAATGTCGTTTTAACCCGTTTTTGTTTGTTTATATTGCATTGTAGAAGTAATGCATGAACTATTTCCATTGGGGGGTTTAATAGGACTGTTCACATGAAATACAAATGAACACAAACAATAAAAGGATCCCAGTAATCCCACCACTTGGAGAAGATCACGATGGTATTCTTCCAGGCATGTGTACATGTGTATATACATATACTTTACACAAGTGTGGTCATGTTCATATGGTTTTGCATACACACACACACACATATATTTTTTTTTTATGAGAGAGAGGGCGAGAGGAAAAGAGCAACATCAATGTGAGAGTGAAACATCAATCAGCTGCCTCCTGCATGCCCCTTACAGGGGATTGAGCCTGAAACCCAGACATGTGCCCTAACGGAGATTCAAACCTTTTGGTGCACAGGACAACACTAAACCAACTGAGCCACACTGGCCAGGGCCTGTGCTGTTTTGTGTTTTTTTTGTTTTTAATCCTTACCTGAGGATATTTTTCCATTGATTTTTAGATAGAGTATAAGGGAGGAAGGGAGAGAAAAAGAGAAAGAGAAACATTGATCGGTTGCCTCCTGCATGACACTACCTGGGGCTGGGGATTGAACCTGCAACACAGGTACATGCTCTTGACTGGGAATCGAACCCTCAACCCTTAGTTCTGTGGGCCAATGCTCTAACCACTGAGCCAAACTGGCCAGGGTGCCAGGGCCTGTTTCGCTTTTTTTTTTTTTTTTTTTTATCCTCACCCGAGGATATTTTTCCGTTTTTTGTACAGATAGAGTGGGAGGGAGAGAGAGGAAGGGAGCGAGAGACAGAAACATCGACGTGAAGGGACACATCGAGTGGCTGCCACCCGCACGACCAACCAGGGCCGGGGACAAACTGCAACCGAAGTACGTGCCCTTAGCGGGAACCGAACCCGGGTCTCTCCGGACCGCAGGCCGACGCTCTAACCGCTGAGCCAAACCGGCCAGGGCCTGTTTCGCTTTTTCACTTAAGATACAGCAAGTATGTTTTCCCATCATTTAATTGTAACGCTGTTTTGCTCTTTGGTGACTTTTCCTTTAACAGATTGGGGCTTATGTTAATAAAGTTGTCAGAAGTCGTAGGCTTTCACCTGCAGTAACTCCTTGGGCTTCTGTGTCCTGAAGCATTGCTTACATCAACACTTTTATTCCTACCTGAGTAACCCTAAGAACTCATACAGCCAGGACCCGGACTAGATTGACTAGAATCTGGTCTGGGAAATGTGAATTGACACTGATCTTTACTTGTGCTCTCTGTCCTCAGTGATTGGGCAGATGTGTGAGGCAACTGTGGTGACCCGGGAATGGGTATTGGACAGCGTAGCCCTCTACCAGTGCCAGGAGCTGGACACCTACCTGATACCCCAGATTCCCGACGCTGCTGCTGATTCCCACCAACTATGTGCATAGTGTATACAGAGCCTGTCTCCCCAGGACCCCAAGAGTGAGCTTAAGAAACGGCCTGTTTTCAGGCCCTGGGAGCTCCTCTTCAGTCTTTCTACAGTCCCGGTTGCTAAATATTTTATGTACATCAGCCTGAAAAGAACTCCTGGCTGTGCAAGGGTCCCTTAAAGATTTTCTGCTTCAAGTCTCCCTTTGAAATCTGCCATGAGCACAAAACTGTGGTAATTTTTCACCTGAAAAGAATTTTAAATACCACCAATTGAGCAAGATGCTGATTCATTATTTATCAGCCCTATTCCTTGTACTGGGGCTGTTGGCTTAGAGCTGGGGGCACAGAGTAGCTGGACTAAGGAGAGCAGATGGTTTCCCTGAATTTGTTTCTCTAAAACCCTGTGTTCATAAAGGCCAAGAGTCAAACACTTAAATGAAAGGTGAGGACCTAGGGATCTGTGATATGACTTAAAATCAGAACAGTCCTTGGGCAGCTCTCAAATGCTGGAGTGGAGCATTGGGAATGGAATTCAGAGGCAGGTGACAGATATAAATATGAAACTTGAGGGTTAATTAGAGAAGGATTCATGCTGACCCTGATCTCCAAAAGTCTGGGCAAGAACTGGTATCCAAAGAGAGTCTTCTAATTCCCTGTTAGTGATAAATAAAATGTTTGTTGTTGTAGCTCTAATATGTAACCTATTCCTCTTGAAATATAAGATCTCTGATATGACTATTTCGTGTCTATACATTGACAGATCCCCCCAGGAAAGGAGCTATTGCTTTCCTTGAGGTAGTTTTTTTTCCTTTTGCTCCCTATTGCTAAACTGTACAGCTTCATAAATAATTTTGTTTGCTGAAGGAAGAGGAAGTTTTTTTCAAACTCATTATCTCTGACTGTTTATATGAAAGGACTATGTCTTCCTTAGCCCCCCTAGTGTGTGAGGGGAGTGCAGACTTGATTGTACAAAATATGTTTTGTAAATGTTGTTCTGTTCACCTGCAAATAAACTTGGTAGCAAACACTTCCACCACGTGTAACTGTTGTTTATGCTCATGCCTGCAGACTTCTCAGACCCTTTTCACTGTACTTTAGTCTCCTTATCTATGTGCAGTGGGGGGTAGTAATAGTACCTACCTCTTAGGGTTATTTATTTATTTTTAATCCTCACCCGAAGACATTTTTCCGTTTTTTGTTCAGGTACAGTGGGAGGGAGAGAGAGAGAGAACCATCGATGTAAAAGGGACACATCGAGTGGCTGCCATCCGCACGACCAACCAGGGCCCGGGACAAAGTGCAACCGAGGTACATGCCCTTAGTGGGAACCAAATCCAGGTCTCTCAGGACCGCAGGCTGATGCTCTAACCACTGAGCAAAATTGGCCAGGGCTCTCTTAGGGTTATTGAGGGACTTTACGACCTATTTATTGTATTAGTTTCTATTACTGCCATAACCAATTGTCACAAATATAGTGGCTTAAAACAACACCGTTTATTATCAAAGTTCTGTATGTCAGAAGTCCAAGTTGGCTGAACTGGTTTCTTTGCTTTGGGTTTCAAGGGCCAATATCAAGGGGTCACCAAGGCTGTATTCCTTTCTAGAGGCTCTGGGGATGAATCCATTCCACGTTCATTTCATGTTGTTGGCCAAATTGTTCCTTGTAGTTGTAGGCTGTTACCTTGCTGGCTGTTGGCCAGAGATCATCCTTAGCTTCCAGAGGCCACCATCATTCCTAGGTTTATGGCCCTTACTTCTATCTTCAAAACCAGCAATGGCTGGTCAAGTCTCTCCCATTTGGACTCTCCCTGACTTCCTCTTCTGCCTCATCTTTGTAACTCCTACCAGAGAATTTCAGTTTTTAAAGGTTCAAGTGATTAGACTGTGCTCACCAGGTAATCCAGAGTGATCTCTCTGTCTTATGGCCATAACTTCAATTACAGCTGCAAAGCCCCTTCACAATAGTGCCTTGATCCCTGTTTGATAAAATAATCATGGGACAAAACTTCGGGAGGATATCTTTAGCATTCTGACAACCACTTCTATTTAACAGGCTTATATAATAGTCTGTCCTCATTTCTTTGTCTTCACACTATCATAGATTGGAATCCTTTTTAAAAAAAATTTTTTTTTATCCTCACCTGAGGACATTTTTGCATTTATCTTCAGATAGAGAGGGGGGAAGAGACAGAAACATTAATGTGAGAGAGACACATCAAGTGGTTGCCACCCACACAACCCCAACCAGGGCCGGGGACAAACTGCCACTGAGGTACGTGCCCCTAGCGGGAACTGAACCCAGGACTCTAGTCCACAGGCCAACGCTCTAACCACTGAGCGAAACCAGCCAGGGCAGATTGGAATTCTTTTTGAGGCAAAGAATGAAATCCTGACACATTTCAGTGCTGATATATTTGTAAGGAGGGTTGGGGGGGGTAAGAGAAGAGTAGAGAAAATGGAACTAACTACCATTACATTTTTATCTCATTTTGTCCTCACATCTCTATGAAGTGGGTATTTGTCACCTCATTTCAAGAGTGGGAACTTAAAATGTTACTCAAGCCCTGGGCAGTGTTGTCTAATGGCTAGGTTAGAGCATTGGCCCATGGACTTAAAGGTCTTGGGTTCAATTCCTGGTCAAGGATCTGAGTTGCAGGGTTTGATTCCTGCCTCTGGTCAGGGCGCATGCAGGACGCAACTGATCGATGTTTCACTCTCACTTCAATGTTTCTCCCTCTTCCTCCCTATAAACAAATCAGTAAATTTGTTTTTTCATTGATTTTTTTTTTAGAGCGAAAGGGAGAGATAGAAACATCAATGAAAACATCGATTGGCTTACAACCTGGGCTTGTGCCCTGACCAGGAACTGGCGACCTGCTGGTGCATGGGTCAACAACCACTGAACCACACCGGCCAGGCAATAAAAAAATTTTTTTTTTAGATTTGCACAGCCCAGCCAGTGTGGCTCAGTAGATTGAGCATCATCCCATGGACTGAGAGGTCATGGTTCAATTCCCAGTCAGGGCACATGCCTTAGTTGCAGACTTGATCATCAGTGGGGGGGTGCAGGAGGCAGCCGATCAATATTTCCATCTCTTCCCCTTCCTCTCTCTCCCTAAAAGAAAAAAACAATCACATAAAAAAGTTTGCACAACTAGTAAATGACAACTCGGAGATCCGGACCCATGCCCTTGGTATCCCATCATTCAACTTTCCATCTGCATCAGTCACTGACCCTAGTTCGGAAGGCACCACTTCAAGCCTCAAGGAAATTTGGGAAGAGGAGTAGTTGTGAGGCGAACTAGCACTCTAGCTCCTTTTATGGGTCCTGGTGGACGAAGTAGAAGGTTCCTGGGAAAGCAGCCCTAGGCAGAGACTGGATCATGGCTCCTCTAATTTCAGCCTCCCAGTTTATGAATAATTATCTTTCGGTTGTCAAAGCCTTCTTGTTCAGCCTCGCCTACAGCACTTCTCAAGGGCCTGTGCCAGCTCCCTGTATACCTGCCAGGGAGTCCATGGGTCTCAGTGTTAGCAGTAAAGGCAGGCAGGAAGGGAGTGCTCCACACACAGTCTTTAGTCAAAAGTGTTTCATTTCTGCCCTGGCCGGTTTGGCTCAGCGATTAGAGCATTGGCCCTCGGACCAATGAGTCACTGGTTTGATTCCTGTCAAGGGCATGGTTGCAGTTCGTCCCTGGCCCTGGTTGGGGTCATGGGTCGGGGTCGTGCAGGAGGCAACCAGTCAGTGTGTCCCTCTCACATTGTTGTTTCTCTCTCCCTCCCTCCCCATCTAACTGAAGATAAATAGAAATATGTCCTTTGGTGAGGATTTTTTTAAAAAGTTTCATTTCCAGTGAGTGGCAAGGCACATACCACTCACTGCCTAATCAGGGCACATACAAGAATCAACCAATGAATGAATAACTAAGTGGAACAACAAATGAATGTTTCTCTCCCTCTCCGTCTCTAAAATCAATCAATAAAAAGAAAAAGTCCCTTGGGTGTGGTTCAGCTGTTGGGCATCGACCCATGCTCCAGGAGGTCGCCGGTTCGATTCCTGGTCAGGACACATGCCCAGGTTCTGGGCCAAATCCCTGGTGGGGAACATGCAGGAGGTGGCTAATCTATGTTCTCTCTCATCAACGTTTCTCTCTCTCTCTCTCTCTCTCTCTCTCTCCCTTCTTCTCTCCCGCAAATCAATAAAGAAAAACAAAATTTAAAAAAAAAGAAAGGAAAAATGAAGGTTTAAGGGCTGATTAGTTAAGATTGCTGCAGCTAGCTTCAGTTGACTCCAAAATCGCCCTTTATTTAATTAACTTATTATTTATTTATATATTTTTTCTTTATTGATGTTAGAGAGAGAGAGGAAAGCAGAGAGATATAAAAACATTAATGAGAGCCCTGGCCGGTTTGGCTCTGCTGTTGGTTAGAACTTTGGCCCGCAAACCAGAAAGTCCCGGCTTCGGTTACCACTAAGGGCATGTACCTTGGTTGCGGTTCGTCTCTGGCCCCAGTTGAGGTCATGTAGGTGGCAACCAGTCGATGTGTCTCTCTCACATTGATGTTTCTCTCTCTCTTCCTCCCTCTCTCCCTTCTTCTCTATCTGAAGATAAGTGCAAAGAAAAGTCCTCAGGTGAGGATAAAGAAAAGAAAAGAAACATCAATGAGAGGAAACATGGATCAACCGCTTCCTGCATGCCCCCCACTGGGGAGTGGGCCCACAAACCAGGCATGTACCGTGACCCGGAATCAAACCAGTGACCTCTTGGTGCATGGGTTGACGCTCAGCCACTGAGCCACACTGGCCAGGCCAAAATGGCCCTTTAAACAAATACAAAGCAAAGGACAAAGACTAAATTATATTAGCAAACTAGGAACAGAAGGGCCAGACTACCTTTTCTTTTTTTCTTTATTGATGTCAGAGAGAGAGAGGAAGAGAGAGTGAGACAGAGAGAGAGACATCGATGAGAGAGACATCGATGAGAGGCTGTGGGGTGTGGAGATGGGCAGAGGGGTAGAATACAGGAGCCCAGAG